GAGCCACTCAGGAAAAATAATGAAAACAAATGAATGAAAACAAATCTAGATTTGGACCTGCAGTGGCACAGAATAAAAGCATGGTTGCAAGAGAAACCGGAGAACACCACATTCCTGTGAGAAAGTAAACAAACAGGTCCAGTGCCCATAAGAAGTGTCTCTCCACCCACAACCATGTGGAATAGAAGAGACAGCCATCTAGCATTTTTTTGTTTTTCCCACCAGTTAAGTCTCTGAAACTGAAGGAACACCCAGCTGACAGAAAACAGGCTGGGAAGGGCACGATTTGCTTAGTTTTATCAGTGGGCGCAGAAAGGGTTAGGTTTCTTCTATTCCACCTACTCTTCCCAGGGCTCGCCCTACTATTAGGGATTTCATGATGTTCATGAGCATCATGAAAGAGCAGGACATTATAAGTCTTTTATTTTTGCATTTTTACTCATAGGGAGGTGTGTGTGTGTGTGTGTGTGTGTGTGTGGTATTTTCTGCCTCAGGCACCAAAATAAAGTGACTAGTTTTGGGTACTATGCATCTGATGAATGGAGCATTTGACCTTCTGTGTCAGGCAGCAAAACATCTTGGACTGGCTACATTTTAGACACCACGGTTAACTTTACAAGCATAAGGCTCCTTGAGCTCATGCACTCCACAGGCACAGAGATTAGAAGCTTCTGTCTCTAAGCTTGGATAATTAAAATTATGGTTTACCATTAAACCAAGGAAGTCTTCAGTCACTCAGTGCACAAGTCAAGCAAATATTATAGACACCTTAATTACGCCCAGTGCTCTCTCACTCACAGTCCCATTTTCAATTTACTGGACATGCTCTGTATTTTGCATATATGTATTCCCGATGTTCGCTGCTTTAACATTTTCGAAGCTTGCAATATGCCGCTTAGGGCACAGGTCAGTTGCGGGAAAGCGGCATAAAAGTAAAACCAATCCAGCCAACCCATCCATAATCCATTCCTCCTTGCCAGTAGAGTTGAGTTTGCAGCCTTCGTCATTCACTATCCTTAGGATTTTTGTTAGTGGGGGGACGGCCTCAGATTTGTATTGATTTGGGGGTGGGCAGCTGCCTCCTGCCCCCCCCTAGCTACATCCATGCTACTCAGCAGTCAACCCCCTTGAGTTCAGTGGCCCTTCCCCGCATCCGCGCAAGTACCCGCGCAGATACAGCGCTGTCAAGCACAACTGCGCGCAGAGTCCCAAGCAAAACGCGCGCAGGATTGCAACCAATCCAGCCAAACGGGGATCCTTCCGTTTGGGGTTTGCTTCTGCTGCGCCACCGCGTCGTAGCTCAATAACTTTGGATGGCTTTTAGGATCGCGGTGCGCGCCTTTGCGTGTGTGAGGGAGAGCAAGAGAGAAACCCTTCCTCCTTCCGCCAACGATTACTTTTACCTTTCTCGCCTCCCTCCCTTCAGCCGCACCAGATTCCCCCCCCCCCCGCCATCTCCTCGGGGAAAACCGAGACAACAGGATTCCCCGGCTGACCCGTGACCCGCATTCCTTTCCCACACAATACGGGCAGAGGCGGCTGCTGGGCTTCTTCTTCTGCCTTTCCCTCCCCTCCATATGGCGACGGGGAAAGAGGGTGGGGGGGTAGAGAACCGCCGTTTGCTAAGGGTCTCGTGGGAACCGTCGCTCCCTCGAAGGGGCAAACTACAGTTCCCAGGAGGATACTTTCTGAGGGGCGCTCGGGGGGCTTTGCAGCCAACCAACCCGCAAAGCTTTGCGGCCATTAAAAGAAATCCCCTCCCGCTGCTGCCCTTCGCGCCCCCCAGCGGAGGGCGGGCTTGGAGCGGCACCTGCCTCGGCCGCGGTTCCTCCCGCTTTTCTCGCCCCCCGTTTACCTGCGTGTAGAGGTCGCTGAGCGCCATTTGGCCGCCGCTTGTGGCCCCGCTTGTGGGCGGAAGGCTGAGGGGAAGGAAGGAGAAGGGGCTCCCCGAGCCGCCGAAGGAAGGAGGCCCGGAGGCGGTCGGCGGAGCTGCCTCAGCCCAGCTCCTCTCGCGCGGCGGGCGGCTCCGGGCAGAGGTGGAGCCCGAGGGCGAGGAAGCGCCGATGCCTCCCCCGGCAGGAGCGCCACGTTTGTTGGCTTGCCCGCCGCCGCCGGGCGGCCTTTTCCGCTTAAGGGAGGGCTGAGAGTTGAGGTTCCCCGCGCAGCTGCTATTATTATTATTATTATTATTATTATTATTATTATTAGTGCCGGATTTACATATAAGCTAAACAAGCTATAGCTTAGGGCCCCACTCTCTTGGGGGCCCCCAAAAAGAATTTAAACGGGGGGAAAACACTTGATGTACATTGCCAAAATATAAGAAACTAAAATAAAATCTACATACAGCAACAGTGTTTTGTGTTTTGTAGGCTCCCATGATGTAAGTCAGTGTTTTTCAACCTTTTTTGGCCAAAGGCACACTTGTTTCATGAAAAAAATCACGAGGCACACCACCACTGTGTGCGGAGAGGGAGATGTCAGAGCCCCGCTGCTCTCTATGGGGAATCGGATGAGAGCGGACCGCCTGTCCGCTCTCATCCGATCCCATCCGATCTGATCTCCACCCAGGACGGATGGAAAATAGGGTGGACACAGTCCGGCGCCCGCATAGCGGGCGAAAATTTGACATTTTTTTTTTAAAAAAAATATCTTTTGAATTTTTCAATTTTTCCCACGGCACACCAGGCAACATCTCGCGGCACACTAGTGTGCCGCGGAACAGTGGTTGAAAAACACTGATGTAAGTAATGGGCCTGCCTGCTAGCCTGCTCCCTAAAATATCACTGGTTTGCTCATTTCTGTATCAATTACTTTGATAAAATACATATTTTGTTATGTGCAAATGGCTTGAGATACCTATTAGGTCCATAAAGTACCATATAGCATATATTCAACACAGAAAAACAGCGGCAATTTGTTGTTGACAAAGGGCAGCTGGGCATATAAAGGGCCCCATTACCTTCAGTAGCTTAGGGCCTCATCAAACTTAAACCCAGCCATTATTATTATTGTTGTTATTATTATTATTATTGGGAGCCACCAGGTTTCTAGGAAGGTTGCAGAGGCGGTGGCTGAAGGGGTTAAAAAGAGACAAAAATAGCAGGTAGCAGTGATGGGGTGACACCTGTTAGCCACAATAAACACCCCTCTGACTCCTGTGTTAATAATAATAATAATTTATACCCCACCTATCTGGCTGGGTTTCCCCACCACTGCAAGACACTTGTTAGGAACAATGTGGTGTTGTTGTTGCTTGATGGCACAGGTCACTTTTAAGGCCATGCACATAGGAGCCAACTCCTAGGAAAAGAGGTCTCTTTGGCGGCAGTTTGGCCCCGATAAAATCTTTGAGGAAGCTGCTGCCCCACCACCACGGCCCAAGTTGCTGGGCACTGGCATTCAAATGGTGTGCATGTCTTTGTGAGGGATTATGCAGGGACGGGGCTTAACTGCCCTCCCCCAATATTTTGTTCAAGTTGGCAGCCCTGGCCTTGCATCAGATTCTGCACTTAGGCTGGAATAATCAGATGCATAATTCTAGGATGGGCCCCATCTGATGGAGGGACGCCTGGCTGGACAGCAGTACATGTAAAAAAAAGGATCTAGGTGTCCTAGTTGACCACAAGCTTAACAAGAGTCAACAGTATGACAAAAAAGCGCTAATACTGTACAGTCATACCTCGGGTTACAGCCACTTCAGGTTGTGTTTTTTCGGGTTACGGACCACCAAAAGTACCAGAACGGGTTACTTCTGGGTTTCGGCAGTCGCCCATGTGCAGAAGCGCTAAATTGCGCTTTGTGCATGCGCAGAAGCGCTGAATCGCAACCCACGCGTGCGCAGACGCAGGTTGCGAACTATGCGGGTTGCAAGCATGCATCCCGCATGGATCACATTCGCAGCCCAAGCGTCCACTGTATTATATTTTTATATGTGCTGGAAGCCACCCAGAGTGGCTGGGGCAATGCAGCCAGATGGGTGGGATGGTATTATTATTATTATCATCATCAGAAGTATAGTATGCAGATCAAGGGAAGTAAATAGTACCACTCTATTTTTCCATGGTCAGACCGTGCCCTCGAGTACTGTGTGCATTTCTGGGCACCACAGCTTAAGCAAGATATTGACAAGCAGAGGTCGACCAAGATGATAAGAGGTCTGGAAGTATCTGAAGGGCTGTCACATGGATGATGGAGCAAGGGTATTTCAACTAAACATTAGGAAGAACTTCCCGATGGCGAGAGCCATTTGACAGTGGATTGCAATATACAGTGGTACCTCGGGTTACATACATTTCAGGTTACATACACTTCAGGTTGCAGACTCCGCTAACCCAGAAATAGTACCTCGGGTTAAGAACTTTGCTTCAGGATGAGAACAGAAATCGTGTTCTGGCGGTGCGGCAGCAGCTGGAGGCCCCATTAGCTAAAGTGGTGCTTCAAGTTAAGAATAGCTTCAGGTTAAGAACGGACCTCTGGAACGAATTAAGTACTTAACCTGAGGTACTACTGTACCTTGGAAGGTGATGGATTCCTTCATTGGAGGTTTCTAAACAGACGTTGGATGATCCAACTGCCAGGGATTATTTAAGTTGTCATTCTTGTATTGCAGCGGGTTCAAATAGATGACCTTTGGGGTTCCCTACCAACTCTACAATTCTGTGTTTAGTGAAGATTCAGGTTTTTTTGGTTGCAGATATTTAAGCAGTGTTTAAAGTTAACCTGCAGCCCTTCATTGGATCTTTGAAGTTTTGGAATGTGTGTTTATTGAAGCTGCTACCATGGTGCAGCAATAAATGTTGTTAATTGTTTAGGGATGGGTAAAAGAATTTACCCATTCTGTTTCCCTGCTAGATTGCCTATAAACAGAGCTGCAGTCCTCCTCAAGTTACCGTACTTGTAAGTCCCATTGAACTCAGCATGACTGACATCTGTAGGTTGAAAATTCAACTGCACTTGATAACTCCAGGAATAATGTATTTACACGAGAGACACCAAAGAAGACTTAACAGTTGTATTTTTATTTGGACATTTCAGTGATAGCTAAGGTACAGCATTTATGAAGCATACGTTTACTAAATACGTCAGACACTATGACAGTTCAGAGCTTATTTCATTCTGATACCGTTTTTGGTTTCCATCTAAGCACAGTAGCAGTATCTAGTGAAAACCTATTGTCTGTCAAAACCTTTGTTTCAAAAAGAATTACAATTTTAAAAATAGTAATTTCCAAAGGATTTTTATGTGATATTTTGAAATGTGTCTGGTTTTGAAATCTTAATTGAAAAGAGACCTTCAGCTTCTAAATGCTGGTGGTTTCGAGATATGGAACCAAAAGGCAAAATGCCACTATCCCAAGCAAATTTGGATAAAAGCTTTACTGGAATAAAAGGGACTTCTGTCCATGTACTGACCCGGAACCAGAGATGATCTGTTATTTTAAAAAAAATCTGCTGTATGCAAAAGCAAAAAAGCATTGCCAGAAACTGTCCCATAGATTCAGAGTGTCTTCTTTTTGGAGGACAAGCTGGGTATCCACAGTGCACTGCTATTGTGACTGCTTCCATGTGCACATGAAAACAGATCCAATCCACCAATCATAGGATTCTTTATTTAATGGGCACATGGGATTCCATGGAAAAGGGGAAAAGTACAAGCAGAGCAGCTATCCCATGCATGCAACAGGAGCAGGATCTTTAGACTGAGGCAAGTATTTCTATAGCATATTATTCTTTATTTATGAAGGTTAGGGGTGTGATTCTCTGCACACCACATGCAAATATGTTCCACTGAACTGGGGCTCTAAAATTACCCACAAGATTGCATACTTGATCAGTTAACATTTAACAAAACCGAATCTTTAAATATTTTTTAAGTTCATCCCTAATTGAAGCTTGCAAAGTGTTTTGCTAAAATCTGGACACAAGGTTATGTTGCAGAATCAGTGGACTCATCACTGGAAGAAGAAAATATCTGAAACCTAATGAGGTAATATTTGTGCAATACTTCAGGTCTGTACATTTCAAAAGGGTTCTCGTAAGTTCACCCCGCCCCCCCAGCATTGGAGAGACTATTCCTTATCAAATTGACAAAATTAGAAATAAAGACATTTCCACATTAAAAAGCAATAACCATGCTATAAAGGGAGGGGAAATAAGCATAACCGGAATTGTGTTAGGCGTAAGAACTCTAAACCAGAAGAACTAAACTGAACATTTTATATTTGTGTATCAGTACTAAAAATGTTAACCTAAGAAAAGTGCATGTAAAATACTGCTATGTAAAGTATTAGATGAATTAGAAAATACCAATTAAACTTAGAAATATCTTCCTTTAAAACATGTGAAGCAGCATACTATTTTAATGTGACCAAAAATAGTATAAGACTACTGAATATAAGGATAATGCCTATAAACATCTATCACTCTTGTAAATAAACAAGGTACAGTAAGGCTTTTTTTACAGGTAAACAAAAGGGAGGATTCATACATTTAAGCATAGTTGCTGAAGTAGTTAAGCTGAGATAATTTTATCTTACTAGAAGAATTTTAAAGGGCAGAATTTCAGTTAATTCACAGGAGGAAGATGGTGGAAATTCTGTTTTTGTTGAGGTTCTGATTTTTAAAAAGTGCTGCTGTCGCTTTACATCAGTGTCATTACAATTATCACATGATATACTAAGAATCCAGTGAAAATGTGAGAAGATAGTGTACTCTATCATAATTTAAAAAAAAACACTGTGATCATCTCAGACTCTAGGCTACCCCTCTAGGGTAGCAAATTGTGTGTCTTCCCATTTTTGCTCAGGGCTCCTTGGTGACAAGGCACCCTTCCTGGCCGCAGACACAGAGGATATCTGTTTTTGACAGCATTTTATGGTCGTTTTAGAAGAAGCACGGCTTGTTAGGAATCATTTTTTGTAAACTTTATGCCAGATGCAAAGTAAACATATTCAAGTAAATAACTGTTCGTTTGCCATAAAGAAAATACATATTAGACAATGCTTGAGCTGAAGTAGCTGAATGTTTCTTAAAACAACCATCATACTCTGCCATCAACAAAAATCCAAAAAGAGAGATAACCCAAATCAGTTTTTAAGAACAGTACTGAAGAATAAACAGCAGCTCACTTTATTTACTTTATCAGTGACCAGATGACAGGTGCACATCGCTGGTCTTCTCAAGTGAGAGCAATGTCGCTCTAAGGATGTACAGAGAAATTTAAACAATATGCCTTTACAGCATAAAGATATGTTTTAAAATAAATATACATTACAATTGCTATAATACAATATTGCACACGGCAATCTCAAAATATGTCATTTCTTCCTATGTATATCTGATCAGCACTGACCGTATTAAAAAAAAAATCGACATCAGAAAACACTGAGCAAGAATAAACAGACATTTTGAACTGTCAGTTCCACATTGATGCAAGTGTTCAGAACATGACAGATTCCTGCAAAAATTTTATCAAGCAGTATCCTTCTTAATGTGTCCAGTGAAATATTCCCATAGATACAGAAGCAGAGTATTACTGTTACTCGTATTATTTTTCAAAGTGCACCCAAATCAGAGTTTGTTTTACATTTTGAAAAATGAATGTGAAGGACCTAAGGTATTCAGGAGATTTGGAGTAAAGTAATTCCTCTCTCACCTAAGCATTTGAGAGTCATCTTAAATATCTAAAATATCTTAAACAACAACTCCAAAACGGATAATATTAAAGCATACATACTGTCATTAAGCTGGCAACTAAAAAAAAAAACCCCAAGGTGTGAAGCTAACATACACCAGAATGATAAATAAATACTAAAAATATAATATGTTTGGGTTTTGTTCATTGAACTCAGGGTCTTCAATACTTTTAAGTAAACATTTTAAATACAATTACTATGCCTCTTCCAGTTTGTTGTTTGTGCTTAGTTACAATTTCCTATTACCAGCGATATTCCTTACTTCTTACATAAATCTTGTTAAAAGACTGGACTATTAAAGTTGTTGGTTTTTTTTAATCCTTATTTCTCTTGCCTAAAGATTATTACTGTACATTTATAAGAACACAGCACACAGCAGCACTTGGATATGTTTTGAAACAGTACTAACTAATGAACAGCTATGTTGTACCATACCGTAAGCCAGAAGACTTTTTGGATACTTCCCATCATTTATGTCACACTGACATAAATAAGGAATAATTTTGACAGATTATCTCCTGGAGTGCAATCTACTACGAATGTCTACTGTGCATGCCCCATTGAAGAGACCACAACTTCTGTTCACTACAAGGGGTTTGCACAGACCCAATGCCTGGTATATTCTGTTTTCTACTGCCCTTTCCAGTCTCTAACATGTTTTAACATATAGCAGATAATCCCTAAATGCTTATATACTTCACTAAAAATCACACCTTTAAAATGGACTCTTCTGTCCTCTCTGGTCCCTGCCTACGAGCAAATCTATGACTTAATTACATTTAAGTAAGTTAATAAGGAGTTAAAATGGCCTCTCAGCTATATCTTCTCTATCAGCTTTCACAGCTAGGGAGTGGACCAGGGAGAAGTTCTCTCTCAGGTCCGCTCCCCAGCCACGCCCCCAGCTTGCTAAAAACTGAGCCCCTCTAGCCCCTGGCTGCTGGTACTCTCCCACCACACCAAAGGCTGAGGAAGGGAGACCAACCCTGCCATGGTTGCACCGGAGCCACAACCACAGCTCCCAGAGCGTCCTGATGGGAAGGGACCTTCTCTAACTCAATGAGAATCAGAAGGAGACAGATTGAGGGTACACACCGACACCACCACATAGGAAGTGGCTATATGCATCTTTTTACACCAGGTGTGTGTGTGTAGCAGGGAGCTGCAATTGGTGGCCGCTTCAAACAGAAGTGGTGCACATTCTGTTCCTCAGCCTTGCTAAATTAGGGGGAACTGCTCTTCAGGTGGTCACAAGTACAATAAAAGTTTTGCCTTGCTCACCAGCAACTGAACTTTTGATCTCGGAGGAAAGGGAATAGAAAAGCTTTGTTCCTCAGAATGTCTCTAGTGCCAAACTCAAATATAAAAGACAGCTTGTGACTAACGGGGGGGGGGGGGGGTTAAGGGAATGATCCGTACTGAAAAATTTCTAATTCTGAAAACTTTTTATAGACCTCAGCATGAGAGCAGTGAATTTATGCAAATGTTTATGTCTCCGTTAGCCATCAGCTTGAGACAGTTACGCAGCATTCCAGCTTTCTGCAATGCTTTTCAGGGCATCTACAATATTTCCCCCAGCTTTCTTCCATTCCCCACCCCAGCCATGGCTTTTCAGTGTCTTCGCTGTTTTAAGATTACAGGTAAGCACACTCATGATCAAAAGCGAACTGTACACTTGCTTCAGACACGACAGATGAATCCTAGGCCCAAACTTGCTGGGATCTGGATGGTTTCTAATGCAAGAGATGATGGGTTAAATGGGAAAGTAACAGGGAAAATATGCTTAGCATCCATTAGCAGCTGAGGAGAGTCCTTCTTGTCTCGCATACGGAGCTGCAAAAATAAGAATGCATCACGTTGGTATTTAAATTTATTTCCTGTATTGTTGTTGATGATGATTTGATACCCGCCCCCTTCACCCTAAAATCCCAGAGTGGGCACAACAATTTAAAATTCAACATTAAAAACGGTTTAAAGCAAAATGCAATCACTAGATTAGGGTGGGTTCTAAAAATATATAGCTAGAGTAACGAAGGCCAAAGTAAAGACACATGTGCTCAGCATATGTATGGTGAAGGTGCTTGACACAATTCAATGAGGAGGAAGTTCCAAAACCTAGGGGCAGCCACAGGAAATTCTGAGGGTGGTGGGACTACCAAGAGGGACCCCTCCACTGATTTTAGCACCCAGGAAACAGTGTTTCAGATATTTTGGGTCTAAGTCTTTTATGAAAATGCTTCAGAATTCCCCCCTATGAACCACTTCCCCCAAATTTCTATCAAATGAGGCATCCTCTTTTCACCACCTCATTGCCAGCTGGAATTTAGAAATTTACGGTTTGAGATGTACTTGATTTAAATGTATTTTAATTTTTAATTTTTTAATTTTATTTTGTTATACTTGTTCTGTTGCATGATGTATTGAATATGGGCCTATGGCCGTAATAAACTAATCTATCTATCTATTGCCAGCTGGAAGCTGGAAGAAAGATGATCCCCTGCCTGGGATGAAGAGAAGAGAAGAAGAATTTGGATTTGATATCCCGCTTTATCACTACCCTAAGGAGTCTCAAACTCCTTAGTTAGCCGAACATTCTCCTTTCCCTTTCTCTCCCACAACAAACACTCTGTGAGGTGAGTGGGGGTGAGAGACTTCAAAGAAGTGTGACTAGCCCAAGGTCACCCAGCAGCTGCATGTGGAGGAGCGGGGAATCGAACCCGGTTCACCAGATTACGAGTCCACCGCTCTTAACCACTACACCACACTGGGATGCTTGTGCCTCATTGGCAGAAACTACGTGGGTGTTCCTTTTCTTCCTCTTTGGCCTGGTTTGTACCACCACTGCACTACCTGTGATATTTTCTTTCCTTTCGTTAACACAAGCAAAAAGGAGAAAAGTAAAAAAAAAGTTTACCTGTATCGTCCGGATAAAGGACACAGACACTCTTTCTTCAAACTCATTAACAGGAGTATACAAGTTCAAAACTTTCACAATCTGTAAGAAAAACAGATTTTTGGTTTTTTTGCCCTTCCCCTCTTGGTAACTTACAGGTGCTTGCTTTTCATTTAAGCCTTGCAATGTTTTAAATCAGCAATCTTCAACTTTTCCAGACTAGGGCCTGCTTTTAACCAAAACAGGCATTTGGACCCCTGTTTCTTAATTATTTAACCATATATTTGTATGGTGGGAGGGCTGGCGTTGCAGCCACCTCAGATCAGGCTACAAAGCAGTCGTGGGCCCTGGCCTATCAGCTGAAGACCAGCATTTTAAATTATACCTCCCCAAACCTCTCAGATACACACCAATTAAATTGCTTTGCTGGCTTAAGTCTTACACCTTTATAATTCTTCAAGAAAATCACCTTGGGTTGCAGTAAGTAGCAATGCTGGAATGCATGTATTTGAGAATACAGTGGTGCCTCGCAAGACGAAATTAATTCGTTCTGTGAGTTTTTTTGTCTTGCGAATTTTTCGTCTTGCGAGGCATTCGTCTTGCGAGGTACCACTGTATATTAGAATACCACACCCAGGCCCTACAACCAAAACAGAACCCAAATTCTATACTTGAACTATAATAAAACCCTGGAACTTTGCCTCTAGCATAATGCCTTATTCTCCTGTAAACAAAACCAAAATACAAGGCGAAACTTATTTTATTTTTTGTAATGACTGCTCGTACAGAAAACTGCATTTGGCATGTAGCTTTTGCAGTGCTTGCTCGCTTTTCAGAATTCTGTTTTCATATCTCACAACTTCTGAAGTTAGCATTTTATCAATGACAGTATTTAAACAATAATTGCCAATGTGGCGAATGGACACACAGTCCAAGCACCACAATGACGTAACTCAGATTATAACGTAAGAAAGGCTGGCTTACCTGTGCAGTAGTTAAGGCATTGCACATGGAACAAATGGCCTCGGCATCCTCATCCGTTTTCTTTTTCACCTGCAACAACTGCGCTGCTTGGATGAGAGGCTCCAGAGTTTCTTTAGCCCCACTATTCATCAGATTTTTGTCACGAAGCCATTCTTCAAGCTGACTTACATTGTACCTGTTAAGTTTAACACATGCACACATTAAAAACCACAGTGTTTAAGGTTTTCAGTCAGCCTGAACAAGTGGTGGGTGGAAACTTTTTATAAATGCATTATTGCTTTATTTTTTCCCTTCACACAATATTCTGTAAATTATTTAACAAACTTCTTTCTTTGACTGCAGCTCCTGCTGCTCCTCCCTAACACAGATCAAGAAATTATGCGCAATGCCTTTAGAAAGCAAAATACTTACTAAGCAGGAATGTAAATCCAAAAGCTCCAGCACTTTACCTAGTTCTTTACTTGCTTTTTAAAAATATATAGGGCAGAATTTTGTTTTTACCATTCATCAATAAAAACTAAGCCCACCCCTTTAAGGAATCCCAATGCCCAAAGTTGGCAAATAAATATCTGCCCTATGAAAATTAAATTTAGCAGCTGTGCCATACCAGACATGGATGGGCTGCACATCAAGCTCATAACAGTGATACATATAGCTTCTTAACCCACAAAACACGACTGAGCTAGTCCCTGAATCCTTGCTTGCAAAAAAATAATTTCCCCATTACGCCCCCCAAGAATACCATTTACTCAGGGCAGAACTTCACATTATAAGGTATTTCCCCTTTCCTTTGTAATGTGGGGTTCTCTTCGATAGCACACTGTATACATGCAGACATTCCTCCCTTCATTGTGCACTGCAGCCCCCTCCACCACCACTCCTAAAAATTTTCCTGCTTATCATCCAGCCACTTTCAAAACCAAAAATAAGCCTAGTTGGGAAATGGTTAAGAAACTCTTTTTCTGCCAATTGATTTGACCTACATTACCCCTAATGTACGCATATGTTTAGAAAACATGGCTCCTCACATTATGCCATCATTTGTGACCCAGACCATAAGGTCAGTTCTGGCAATCCTTAACCCTCAGGGAAGAGAGGGGTTAAGAGGAAGGAACACATGAAACAAGTGTATAACTCAAGTAATATGACACTGTGCACAGTGGGTGTACAATCCACTGCCTCGTTGCGTTTAGGAAAATCACCAGTTTGGCAAGTATATGAACTTGTCAATAATAATTCTCTTTAATGCAGTGAATTCCCAAGTCTAAAAATAACCTTAAAAGCAACCACCTGGTTCAGGAAGAATTCACTATTATGCCCAGCAAGTATAGCCAAAAGAGCTGAAAACATTTCAGAAGATATCCTCACCTTATCTGCATCCCTTTGCTCCAGGAGCACATATCTTTCCGCAGGAGGAGGTTATTGAGGGTCACTGCTCCAATGATGTAGAACATCTGCTTGACTACCTGTTTGATCAGCTCTGGATCCATTCCGTGCTGACACATGATTGAGTGGAAGGTATTCAGCTGTCGGATGATAGAGTCCAGCGTGTACGTCCCTTCATCAGCAATGCTGGAGGTTCTCTTTCGGAGACCAGTTGGTTTCACCCCCGACACCCCTTGGATAGTTTCATGCTCCAACATTCCTGAAACTGGTTGACAAGATGATGATGATGATGATATTTATATATATATCCTTTCTCCCAGAATTGAGACTCAACGTGGCTCACAACATTAAAACAAATACAAATAAAACACATATCGCTAAAAAACATGTAAAAGGTTGTGGTTAAAAGTAATTGAACAACCTATAGAATTAAAAGGGACGCGGGTGGCGCTGTGGGTAAAAGCCTCAGCGCCTAGGGCTTGCCGAGCGAAAGGTCGGCGGTTCGAATCCCCGCGGCGGGGTGCGCTCCCGCTGCTCGGTCCCAGCGCCTGCCAACCTAGCAGTTCGAAAGCACCACCAGGTGCAAGTAGATAAATAGGTACCACTCTGGCAGGAAGGTAAACGGCGTTTCCGTGTGCTGCGCTGGCTCGCCAGATGCAGCATTGTCACGCTGGCCATGTGACCCGGAAGTGTCTGCGGACAGCGCTGGCCCCCGGCCTCTTAAGTGAGATGGGCGCACAACCCCAGAGTCTGTCAAGACTGGCCCGTACGGGCAGGGGTACTTTTACCTTTTTACCTATAGAATTAAAACAATGTGGCCCATGAGGACACTTCCCCAAATCACGCCCACTCACCCATCAGTGATAGGTGGGAAGACAGGGTTAAAACACAAGCAGGGAACAGGCTTGTGCAGCCAAGACAGCAGGATTTAACTCCCAGTCATCAGAGTGGTGATTAAATCCTGTTCAGTTCAAGCAGCCCAGCATTTCTGTTGAATCCCCCAGTTTTTGGAGGCTCAAGCAGGAGCAGGGTAGTTTGGGGTAACTGTGTGAAAGCCTTTGCAAAAGTGCTTTCAAGCAGTGCTTTGCCACATTTTAAAGTTCGCAAGACTTTGAAGTACAGCATCACCTGAAACCATCGTGATGCCAGGTGATTGACAGGAAGTGGCTTGGACCATGACAATGGAGTGGTGTACCAACCAGTCCTGCCATGTGTGTAGGGCCAATGATGTGCTCCAGCAGCTGTTATGAACTGTCATGGCAGCCATGAAATCCTGTGCTGGAGCCATCAAGGCAACAGCAGCATGCATATTAAGATATCCCCAAACTAATGTCCAGGTTTTTCCCAACATCATCACTGAGATTGCCCCCAAAAAGGCCACAGGCAAGATTTGAGAGCAATAATATTCTCTCACTGTTGTTCTCCAGCAACTGGTATTTCAAAGGCATATGGCCTCTGATCCTGAGATAGTATACAGTATAGCCATTGGGACTCACAACCTTATCTTCTATAAATTTGTCCAATCCCCCAACTGTCTAATTCCCCATTCTGATTTTCGCTTGTCCAGGTAAACCAGACTTCTTTTAGTAAGCTTTGACTGCTGTTTATAATGAAAAAAGTATATATAATGTCATCTCTCTTAGAAATAAAAGCTCTTCTTTTAACAGTGGAAATCAGAGTCATAGGAGTAAACGGCGGAGATGTCTAGTTAATTAGAAAAGGAAAACACAGGTTTCTATTTTTTCTCTCTCTTCATTTTGCCTTACCAATCATTGGCTGCAGAATATTCTCCAACACTCTGACAAGCTGCTGGTAGATCTGAATGGCCAAGTCACTCAGCACTTGTCTGTATTCAGCAAGGTCAAAGTTAGTGAGGCAATGTTCATTCTGACGAGGTGTGTTGTGCTTCATAAAACCCTGGATTTGCAGAAGACAATGGTGCACAGTTGTTGCAGTTTGTATTTATGCGTTTCCATTACGTTATCCAAAACACTCTGGATGGGCAGCATGTTTCAAAAGCAGTCAACGAGTTCAGTTCCCTCTTGCCTACCAGCCTTGCCATCAAATGCCTTCCAAAGGAGCAGAAGCTCAGTACCTTTTTCAGAGCAGGGGGCAATGATGTAATTTGCTGGAGTGGTATTGGGCGTGTTGGGTGCGGGACATTGTTATGTAAAAGCTGGAATGAGACTGATCCAAGATTACCCAGTGAACCTCATGGTGATCAGGGATGTGAACCCAAGTCTCCCCAGCCCAAGTCCAACATGCTAAGCCTTTACCAGTTCAGGCATTTTTTGACTTTCCTTGGGGGTGTGGCTATGGACTCTTTGGGGTGTGGCTCTGGGGACTGTCGTGATTAGCTTCTGCACTTTAAAATTTACCACTACACCACTGCCAAGAACAGATACAACTCTTGCTCTTGTCAATACTCTCTGTCCGTGGCTTACAAATAGAAGCCATGCTTTCATCTTGAACAGGCAGATCTAATGCCTTCAACCCATTTTGTACATGCAAAGTCAAAAGTAAAAGTGAAAAACATAAATGGCAAGACTTGCCTCTTCACCACTGTACTGCTTCAAGCAGTGCAAAAATCGGCATGTGTTAGACAGCCAGAAGGAAACTGTTTCAAAGTCATCACCTCTTTTCTGAAAATAAATGAAGAAATAAATACGGCAGTTAGAAGAAAACATGGTCACAGTTAACTGCTTTAATTGCTATGTTTATAAAGTATGGAAATAAAACTGCCATTTTTTTTCTTGTCCCCATATTGTTTGCTGTGCAACACTAAGTGTCAGTTCTCCACATTGACGTTGTCATTAAATAACAAACATACCTTCAAGATTTTTTTGATGCCATTAATAGTCGAAGTTAGCAAGGACCTCACTTTTTGGTCATCATTAAGATAGTCAGCATGGCGGACACACATGAACAAAATGTATGCTGGCAATCCTGGGATCAGGTTGACTGCCACACCTCGTGGCTTCAGATCTGAATAAGAACACAAAAGTATGCACATGTAAATTCATAAACAGCTTTGCTGCGTTTTATATGGCCTGGTAAAACTGCAGCTCTCCAATTTACCAGAATTGTTCTGGGACCAGTTAGTACTAATACTTTTTATTTGATTTCAAAGTTATGTTTCCTCTTCCAGTTTTCTGTGAAAAATTATCTGTGCCCAGAACAGAACAGAATAATGTAAAGTTACAAAAGGAAACAAAGAGATATGTAATGCAACTGATATGAAGAGCTGAACTTTCTTGGTGAATGGGGATTGTTTCCTTTTCTCCGACGTTAGATAAACTGGACCAGTTTCAAGAAACACTCCACATTCACAGGCAAAAAAGACTGGTTCATTTTATAAACAGAAAGGCTTCTTACCTAAAATCAGGTTCTTGACAAGCTTTGGCTCATCTTCCTTTTTATACTCTAACATTCCCTGGAAGTCCTTTTCTTTCCTTGGAATATTGACAGGATGGATTGGCTCATCAATTATTTGTCCAGGTGAAATGTTATCCATCTGGCCCACTACATCAAGAAATGGAGATTTATTCATAAAAATAGCTATTTGTCACAGAACCTCCCAGTTTTAGACAATAAGATTAATACTGAATTCTGGAGTATTATCTGTCCATTCATTTCACAGCATGTTGGCTGTCTAGCTCATCTACAGGGTGTATTCCCAAAGGAGTAAGTGCGTACTTTTCAAATTAAGTTATTGGACTTATGATTCTTTCTATAGTTATGGGACATTAGATCTTTCAGGCTGCATCGCACACCCAATATGACAGGATTCACAGTTGTAGTCAAGCAAATAAATCCCCCCTCTAAGGGGTCCTTCACCATGAGAATAGAAGCTTTCTCACAATGTGTGAAGACATGCAACCCAGCATCAAAAAATGTTTGTGCTGAAGATCTTTGGACTCCCTCTACTTTTCCAAAGCTCTATTTAGGCATACTGCAACCAGTCTGGAAGGTACGTCTGTATAAAATAAGAAGTGAAACATCTACTGCAATCAGTGAAAACATATACAAATTGCAATTTGTATAGACTCCCTACTAGAAAAGAAGGTAATGCATAGGACTTTGCTCTATGTTCAGGTGTCACTTTGGACATTCAGGTAAGTTCACCTGCTGGTATCACAACCTTCCTCCTCTTGGCAAACTATTGTTGGTTATCCTATAAGCACTTCCGTGTCTTCTTTCTCTTCCCTTTCTGGTCTCTGCTTCCTTTAAAGCACATACAAGGTAAGGAAGCGCCACAGCTCACTTCTAACAAGCTACAGGTACCCCCACCCCTCACAGAAGTAAGATACTAAATACAGACTGAAAGCAACAACTCTTGGGCAATCTCCTTTTCTCGTGTCATGCACATACAACCAGGAAGGGGACAACCAGAGTGTTTACAGTCTACATAAAATGTGTGTTTATGCCTTAAAAAGTTGGAACAGTAAAAAGGGTGAGATCTTACTAGGGATAAAGGAGCAAAAGGAGGTTTTTATATACTCTAAAGCTACAACACTTACTTGGGAGTAAACACTACTAAAATCAATGGGACACTTCTGAGAAGGCATGAATAGGATTGGGCTGTACGTCTGTTAGACTCCGTTTAAGGAAATACTGAAAATCAGGAGTTCCTTTTCCAAAATGTATGCTTAAAAGAATGCCCTCAGCAAACTGCCCCCAAGCAAAATCTGGCATGTTGAACTAGAAACTTTCCTCCATCTTTCATTCTTGTGTCAATCCACAGCATAATGACAAAACCATTAGAAAACTGCCCAAGGCGGTCCACATCACCCCAGTACATCACAGTGCTGTGCGGTTTTAAATTTTTTCAACATCTTGCCCTCATACCTGGATCCATTTCAACATGCAGTGCTAAGCCGAGCACTACAAAGCAAACATGTGGGTTCAAAAACAAACCTTGGTTGGGAGTGAGACAAACTACGAGCCCAGGTTCAGGTATTAACACTTAAGCCAAACCATGGATTAGCTCTGGGTGGAACAGCACCAGCAGAACCAAGGAAGGAGCACAGCAGCTGTGATCTTCACTCCAGGAAGCTGTACATTTCCTCGTTCACACTAAGCCATGGCTTGGCTTATTGTTACATGAGAACGGGGCTGTACGCTGTGCAATTCAGGAAGTGAACATCTAAAACACACTGATCGGTGCCTATTCTTCAGATAGATAGATTATGGTCATAGACCAATACAAGTTTGTACACACAGGATAGTTAAAACAGTAAGAACAAAACATAATAAGAAAACACAAGATTAAGACAGGAGCCAACAGAAAATGTACTTTACCATCTGCTTCCTAATATGCATTGAGGCAGAAAAAGATTAGCTACCTTTTCAGTACCATAAGAAGTCATCACTTAAACAAGATATCAGAATCTGAGTGAGTCTCCCAGAGTTCTTAAAAAATGGACTGTGCTTCAAGACTATATTTAATATGGCAAAGGGAAGGCAACAATTAAAACTTAGCCACTCCCTACTAACCCTTAACCAAGTGAAAGGTCTCAATGTAATCTGTAGGCAAGCAGCTTTTTTTCTTCTTAAGGTGTTCTTCCTGCAGACAATGCTTAGTAAACACAGAAGTCTGTGATTTCTCGATGTTACCTCCTTGAAAGGCAAAGTACAATCGAGAGAGGGAGGAGGGAGGGGCTATGAAGCAAGCAGGGAGCTGTTTTCACCAAGGTAAAGAGCTATTTTACATTGCACGGTAAATATTCTACCTGGCAGACAATGACTTATTGGTCAAAGTCTTCCGCCAAAATGACTAAGCTGGGAAGTCGTGATTTCCTCTTGCACAGGCATTTATAAGGCAATGATTACCAAGGCTAAAGGTACGGCCATGCCCATTAGCATTTTAATTCCATGATGCATTGAGAGCATTATTGATGCATTTATTTCATCTATAAAAGCGTATGAGTAAACTGAAAACTGCACACAAACCTACAAGGGAAAGTAGCAAATGAGCAAGAATTCAGTATGTTCCTTGAAGAGAAGGCCTTGTTCACTTGGAATCAGTTTGATCTCAATCTACTGTGCTACTGTTTCAATGTTCCCTCACTTCTAAATACAGTATGTTTCAGGGGGGAAAGTCAACTTGACCTTGAATGCTTGTGAATACAAGATGCTTATCCCACAAGTTTTTGCTTTTGCTTTTCTCTCTCTCACTCACACACATGTATTTTCAAATTGCCTTCCAAAGGACTCCTCCTGCAAATTGAGAAATACTTTTACCTTCTGCTTGACACTGTCTTTTTTACCATTTACAGATAGGTAGCCGTGTTGGTCTGCCATAGTCAAAACAAAAAAAATTCCTTCCAGTAGCACCTTAAAGACCAACTAAGTTAGTTCTTGGTATGAGCTTTCGTGTGCATGCACACTTCTTCAGATACCAAGGTGCTACTGGAAGGAATTTTTTTACCATTGTGGATGATGATGTTCAAATGGGAAACTAATAACTGAACCATATATCCAAAGGTTTAGTTATTTAAAATGGCATCCTGGGGAAGGCTTCTAACCATAGCTAATATTCCTTTGCTAGACTTCTTAGCTGGTGAACAGCTGTGCTGGTGGAGGAACTTAGAGCTGTTGTAGTGAAGGTAGAAAGGGCCCCTTGGACAGATTGCTGCTCTACTAATTTCCACATGTAAAAGCTTCTAAGGACAGTGTTCCTCTTCTGCGGAAGGGCTTCTGCCAGTGCCAGTACCACAGGAGCAAGAGGCAAGAGCAGAGCAATACTAATCCCACTGAGGGAGCAGCAGAACAGAGAAGTGGGTCCATGGCCACATCTGAAGATGTTCCAGCCAGTATCAGCCAGGGCAGAGGGTGTTCCTCCCAACTTGTGATGTCAACTCTAGGGCTAGCACAGCTGAGAGACCCAAGATCAAAGCCAATGGGGGATTCCCGGGATCTGGATTAAGTGGGTCCAAAGCCAATGGCACGAACAACTCCCTGTTTTGGCTCCTTCCACTTCCTACCATCAGTGTGAGAACCACTGGAAGGTGATGGAGAGGAGACCATGCACCATCCTAACAACCCTTCCCCACCATTAAGATCTGAGTGGTGCTAGGATTGTACTCTAACCTCCCAGTTCTCCTGGTGCAAGTGCTAGCTCTCCTGATTGCAGTTCTAAAGGTGAAATCCATGCATCGACTCAGGGATTCTAGCTCCAATGCCAATGTGGTCTCTTAATTTGCTACCCTTGGAAATTCCCTCCTGTTACATAGTAGGAAGGCGCCATCTCTGTTGTCTTTTTGGCACCTCCCTCTTTCAACAAACCTTCTAAGTGGATATATTTATCCTGGTCTGCATCCATATCACGGCTGCTTTTAACTGTGGGGTTGTTTTTAAATGTTTCTATTATTTTCATGTGTTTAATTGTTATCTCACTTGTTTTAAGGTTGTAGCTGTTTCATTTCTTATATAATTGTGTGTTTTATTGCTGTAACCCACTCTGGGACTTTGTGCTAAAAGGTGAGAAAGAATCCAAACAAACAAACATACAGTCTTTTCTGAGATGGCCATCATAGGAAGGGAGGGGGTGGAATCAATAAGCAAAAAAATTTACTATAGATTCTGAGGCACCACATTCTCATATTTCAAAAGAAATGAGAGCCTTCTTATTAGCCAGCTGTTCTTGTTTGAAGTACTTGCTCTTGGTAAAAGTCAAACACTGCCCTTTATTAAACAGAGAACGAAATGAATTTCAACTCACAACCCATTTGCACTCAGATCCCAAGATAATCCATACCCTTTCCTTAGCATAGTCACATTAATTACTATTTCGGGATACTATCATGTGCATATGCACACAAGTTCAACATTTTTCTAGTTATTGTATCTACTTGTCAACAGCTGGAGACTTACTGCCTCTTTCATATAGCAAAACAGGTCAACATTTGCGCCGCCAGACAAGAGAGAAAAAGTTTGACAACACACAGATACCGTACCTTCGAGTTCATCAATCTTTTTTGCATAGACTTTAAGCTGCTTTTTCAGTTTGCGAACAATCTTGTCCTGTTTTTCAAGCTGCTCCATTAAATCCTAAGCAATAAAAGTTGAGAGGGAAGGATTAGGGACTTAAAAGTGCCGTCTATAACAACAGACAGAGCAGAACCAGTACTGTTAGTGCTACAAGAGGAGCTGAGCACAGCTGAAAGGCGATGCTGCCATCTGGCTGAAGTTTGCAAGCCTGCACGCTGCCTAGAACATAAGCAAGACAATTATATAAAGTATGTTGAAACATGTGCAGCATGACAGACACAGAATTCTTCTGCAGGCACATTTTACGGGTATCAACATACAGTGGTACCTCGGTTTAAGATCAGCCTTGTTTACGAACTATTCGGTATACAAACTCCGCAAAACTGGAAGTAGTGTTCCAGTTAACGAACTTTACCTTGATCTATGAACGGAAGCTGAACGGTGGAAGGGCACCGGCAGCAGGAGGCCTCATTAGGGAAAGTGCGCCTCCATTAAAGAATGGCTTTGGTTTAAGAATGGACTTTCGGAACGGATTAAATCCGTAAACCGAGGTACCACTGTATCTACATCCGACTTTCTAGGTTCTTTGTGGGAAGCCACGACAAGTGGTATTAATGTGATTTGAACATATGCCATGCATGTGACCTGGGACTCCCATCTCCCAGCCACTATGGCCAAAGGTCAGGGATGATGTAAGTTGGCCTCCACAGAAGGCCATAGGTTTTCCAACTCTGTTCTATTGGCATGTCTCTTTCAGGCTTATGGAGATTCCACAACCACATTACTTTTTAGACATACAGAGGAGAGTTGAGGAAAGAGTGGGAAGTCTGAAGCCCCCTCCCACTTTGGGTAGAACCAAAGGGGCGGGGAGGACAAACCCCCCAACAACATTTGAACCAATTTTTGCAAAGTTGGGAGACTGAAGTATATTGTTCTTCAAACTACATTTTAACACCACCCTCTACTAATAATTTAGAATTACAAATATTATTGCCTAGCCTCCCCAACAATTCCCCCAATGTTTTTGGTACCACTAGATATTCGTTTTAATATTGAGGGATGCCATCTAAATCAGGCATAGGCAAACTCGGCCCCCCAGATGTTTTGAGACTACAATTCCCATCATCCCTGACCACTGGTCCTGTTAGCTAGGGATGATGGGAATTGTAGTCCCAAAACATCTGGAGGGCCGAGTTTGCCTACGCCTGATCTAAATGCTTATCTAAGAGCAAATCTGGAATTTCTTTTTCAGAAAGCAAAGGACATAGCTAAGAGAGTCTGCTTCAGTCATGCTGCTGTGTTCATATTAGTAACAAAGACGCTGACACAAATGACACAACAGAAAGCTCTTGGGAGAGGAACGACATTGATGAAGTTTTCTGAAAAGGATTTCCTTCAACAGTGGACAAGGCAGCCAGCTCTTCAGTTAGTGCTCCAGAGTAGCAAACAAAGAAAGAGAGTTGGCACAATGTACACAGTACATACAATCATCCGTTTGTAAAGTGAAATCCGGTACGACTGATACTTCATGGGATCATCTGCATATAACTCCTCACAATACTGAAAAAACAGGTATAAAGTATAGGTTCTTCCCATTCTTTAAAGGTGCTAGCATGTCAACAAACTTCAGAAGAAAAGGCAAGTTCAGCGACATTGATTTTGAGACAGACTTAAGCTATTAAAACAGCGTCAATCTCCCTACAGACCAGGATGCAAAAGGCACAGCCTTTAAGATGCACACAACAGAGGGGAGGGAAGTTTTCTGGTCCATTTATTACTATAAAAACCCCGGAAAAATATGGTTTTAAAAATATATACCTCACAAGCAGGCGGAAAATAAAAATGCCTCAACAACATTCAGTGATTACTACCCTCAGAATGGGTACTGTCAGGAATATTTAAACCCAGATGGGTCATGGTGGTCAATTCTCGTGTCATACCATAGAAAAAGATGAAAAGGAAAATGGGGACTCTTCTGAAAAAAGTGAAGGCTGGAAGGACTAATCCCCCTTCTAGGTGGTTTACACATTTGGGGCAACATCAGAAACTGTGTGCTGGAGCTACAAGCTGTTTAGTTTCCACTTTTCAACTATCTGATTGCCTTGGACCAGAAGGATGGACAGTTATATAAACTGTCTTAGTCGTTCCTTTGAAAATCAATAAAAGTGTGGTTTTTTAAAAAGTTTCTTTCAGCAGGTACATTGAAGAATGTAGCCCTTGCAGCATGGCATTGGCATGTACAACTGCAATTAAGCTGTCTAAGAAGTTAGGCTATATGATAAACAATGCTACAGACAATGGCAGAGTTCGAAGAATGAAAATGAATACTGGTTATTATGGGGTTAATCTTCATGAAGCACCAGCAGGAAAACTTGATGTTGTGGAAATGCAAGAATGCCAATACTTTAAAGCTAGATATGGGAAGTTTGCTGAGGAAGAGAATTGTCTCCAGAGGAGAATACAACACACCTACCATAGCTTGGCATTGGGTCTGTATGGAGGAGGGACAAGCATGGGGCCAGCTGGAGTTCTTGACTGGATGGACTAATCTCCTGCTAAAATACTGGCCAAAGTTTGGCTTTCCAATCCCTGAAAACACACCTCCTCCCCAAGTTCCTAAAATAAATGAAGTAGCAGCAACGGAAGGTGGAAGCCTATAAGATGGGACTTGAAAAAGGCTTGATGTTTTTCGTGCAGCTGGCTGAATCACTAAGATTATTTGGCTATTCTGCAGAAGTACTGCAATAGCTTCAGGACTAACCAGTAGCATCTGGATGACAGGGAAGCTATTCAGAGGTCATGAATACAGGGATCAAAGGAACCTTCCTTTTATAACTTTGTAAGCACTGTGGGTTAACCCACAGAGCCTAGGTCTTGCCGATCAGAAGGTCGGCAGTTTGAATCCCCGCAACGGGGTGAGCTCCCGTTGCTCGGTCCCTGCTCCTGCCAACCTAGCAGTTTGAAAGCACATCAAAGTGCAAGTAGATAACTAGGTACCACTCTGGCAGGAAGGTAAACGGCGTTTCTGTGTGCTGCTCTGTTTCACCAGAAGCGACTTAGTCATGCTGGCCACATGACCCAGAAGCTGTACGCCAGCTCCCTCGGCCAATAAAGCAAGATGAGCGCCACAACCCCAGAGTCGGCCACGACTGGACCTAATGGTCAGGGGTCCCTTTACCTTTAAGCATGTGTTGCACTCAGGAAAAATTGGGAATCTGGAATGTTGCCCCCTCCAACCCGCTCAATAGTCTAAAAATGCCCCTAGGCAGGGCTGGGGAAGCTGTGGCCCTCTATTAGACATCCTGTCTGAGACTGATGAGAACTGGAACCCCTCATCTTCTCCCTGCCTTAAGACTTCCAAAACCAGAGAGAATCTCATCAAGTTTAATTCACCATCTTTGGAAGAACGTAAGTCACCAAAGCAAGAAAAGCCACTTCGTCCCTTCTTCTGAAGAATCAAGACAGTGAATCTTGCTTTGGAGGCAGTCACTGTCTTCAAAACCTATTGCACACATGCTTGCAATGACAGCACTTCTCAACAGACACACAGTTTATTAAGATTTGACTTACTAGGTTTTCATTAGTCAAGCGGGTGATCTCATGTTGTAGGCTAGCTTCTATACGGGCTTCTGGGGGCAGCTGCAGGTTCTGCGCTAACAACTGCTGCTGGCGATTGTTCTCCTCCTTCAAACTCTGAATCTCTCCACGGAGGGCTTCCAGTTCATTGTCATGGCTCCTCTTCTGAGACTGCAGTTGAGATTCCAGTAGCCTACACAGCCACAGAAAAACAAAGGGCATTTGGGGGAGGCAGAGAGAAAAGGGGAAGATGAGGAGGAAGAAGGAAAACACTTTTTTAGAATCTGTGTTGAAGATGGTCACCAAAGGTTTAAATACTGTCATCAAAGCTCAAGTGTACATATAGCTGCCCATTTATATGGAGAAAGAAAGAAAACCAGAGAGTACTCTTTAAACCCATTTAGGTGATTTGGACCAAAATCCCATTTGCCTAATAATGAGATGTATAGCAAAATTAAAATTGACTTGGGTTTATAATGCCTTGGCTTCATATTTGTTTAAAGGATCTCTATTATACATAATTACAAAGCCTGTACCATTTCAGGCAAGAGATTTTTGGGCACCATTTGCAAGGGCAAGAATATTTAGTTTAACATTATATTTTACCACCTCTGGGAAAGGGGTGGAGAGGCATTTGGATTTTCTGCCTCGGGCATGCAGTATCTTGGGCTGTCTCTGCTTCCTATGACTCAAGGTTTTGTCAATCAATCCATAAACACCCTTGCAACCTCAAAAGGACATGCCAATCATGGTGTATTTAAGTGAAGGCACATAACAAGGCCATAAAAGAGGAAGTCTTATTTATGCTGCTCAGAAAGAAGCCGAAGTATCCCACCCAAAAAACTAAAAGAATGTAGTAAAGGTATTGCTAGAGGGATACGGATGGAAGCAATAAAGTATCATGCTGACTGTGCTGCTGATTCACTGTGTGGGCTTGGGAATGCAAACAAATAATTCATTTGCTGCTTGTGAATTATAGGAGGGAAGGAACAGAGGAAATGAATGGGGGGCGCTGGAGTACTGAGATTGATGCTAAAATTGCATCTTCTACAAATGAGCACATACCTCAAGCTGAGCGGCTCCATCAGACACACTTTCAGGGTTTAAATAGACCTAAGCAGACCAGCTAACAGCTACATTGACCAAGCACATAAAAGGTAAATATGAATAATTTACCTTTCATTTCTCTGCCCCTTGCTCTAGAACCTTTTGCTTCTAGAACACCGACAAAAGAAACAAAAGCTACAGAGCCACCTCTTCCCTCGCTTACTCTGCAGCATGGTAACTACTTGCAAGTTAGCGTCTAGCAGACTTACAAACACAGTAGTTAATGTTTAGTGTTTTGTTAGCACAAGAAAAGAAAAGACACTGGTTAAAATAGCATTTGTAATAAAAAACGAAAAAACCTATGTTGGTTAACTTGTTTGGTTAAAAGTATACAATGAACTACTCTTGTCATTTAAATGCTAAAGTAACTAAATTCAGAGCAAACTGAGAAGTAGGTGCTCAAGGAAGGTTTTTTAAAAAGCAAGATGCCTTTCAAGTGAGTGGGTGCACCTGACAGTCATGCACACTTGATGTCATTACAGCTTTTAAAAATGGCTGTTTTCTTTATTTGGTATCTGCTAGTGTCTCCCTTATTCACCATGAATAGAACAGGCAAATAACATACAAAGAATGCCTTTAATTTTTATGTGTTTCGCTCTGCCTATTTCAGACCATGGTAACTATTTTGTGCTGAACTATTAAGTCTTTTGTTGGGGGGGGGCGGTTTGACAGTGTATGTAATAATATGGCTTGTAGACATTTTTTAACAGGCTCCAGGATTTGGGGGGCTCTCTGAGAGCTGGGTTCTCGTCCTTTAGCCACCATGTTTCCACATAAGAAAACAAAAATCAGCAGGAAGCAGATGGACGGTCAACAATGGCTCCTCCTCCTCCTCTTTTCCTTGCCCTCACAGGGAGAGGGTGGATGAGCTGAGCTCACTGGCTAAGGAGAATCAGCTACCATCACTACAAGCCCTCTCCTGCTATATGCAGAAGTCCTATTGTTTGTAGCTCAGACACATCTGCATCTTTCTTTTTATGATTCAGAACTTCCACTGCAGCAAATCTGGGATATAACTGGTCAATAGTGGACCTCTACCAGATTGTGGGGCCCAGCTAACGCCCCACCATGCCGCTTGCCAATGCTGAGACTGATTTGAAGTGCCAGCCTTGGGGGGTTCCATTCTTCCCTTGTTTTAATAAACCCATTTGGATTCAGTCTTGTTAAATGACTATAAGAAACAGCATTGCAAAAGCAGGTCCACAGCATGTTAGTAACACGAGAGAGAACGCAAGAAGATCCATCCTGAGAAGTCTTGTAACCTGTTGGCTTGTTTTAGCCCTTCATATACCAGCCACAGCTCTCCGTCCTCATTCAGCATATGATAGTCCTGAAGAGATGATCTTCCAAGCAAATTGTTTTGTTTTTAAATGCAAAAACACAAAAAGGGATACATGATGGTGATGGTGTAGCATGCTAATTAAAAGGACAACGCAAGCTGAGTAAGTGTTATTATTAAAAAGGGGAAACCTTCATCTCCACAACTGCAATTCTAAACTTTTCAGCAGTGCAACCCTATGCACGTTTGCTCGGAAGCAAGCCCCACTAAGTTCCGTGGGGCTTATGCCTACATTAAATGTGCATAAGATTGCAGTCTAACAGTGCAATTCTATACATGAGTACACAGAAGTCAGTCCCAGTGGGTTCATTTTTAAAATGTTTTATTATTCTTTCTTTAATCGTTTCATCTTCAAGCTCCTAATAAATTCCAAATACTGAAATCACATAAAAGTAAACGTATGACAAAAATATGCCTAAATATAAATATATAGATAACAAATATTTCCCAGCTATTCCAGGCTCTTTTCTTATATATTTCACAACTGGCCTGCAATTATTTAATCTTTCTTTATACTCCCCATATGTTCATAACTTTACTGTCAGCTTCAAAGTCAACTGCTTCCATAGATTCCTAACTAAACTCTTTCTTGTTAGGCTTATTAGTAACCTTTTGAACTTTCACAATCACAATTCTGGCTAACATTAGTATATATGGAACTTGTGGTTGAATGCTCCTCTGATTATCCACATAATTCAAGAGGCACACACAATAGCACCCCAGTGAGTTCTACAGACCTTGCACCCGTGTATAGAACTGCAGCCTAAGTTAATGGAAGTATATGTGACAACTTGCCTGAGAAAATTAAGTTAGTAGGATATATTCAGATAAGATAGCATTGTTCCAAATTCCTTAAACCAGAAAAAACAACTTCTACTCTGCTAATGCAAATTAGAACCACTGCACAAGTAGCACCGAGCAATTAATTATTATTATTATTGATATTCTGTTTTGTTTACAGCCAAGGGAAGAAGCAAACTGTACAAAATAGATGCACAATGTAAATGCACACATACCTGTTTGTCTCCTTCAGACCAATGTACGCCTGGGCTATCTCTCCTTTGTCCTTCATCTTCTGTACATCCTCTAAAAGGATTGTGGAGTCTGTCATGGTGTTCTGGAAAGAATTAGCAGAAAGCAGTTGCACAAAATAGATTACCTGAAGAGTCTTTTTTAAAAAAAAATAAAAAATTAAGATTTTCTTGGTTTCCAAAAGTACATGCCTTGTCTCTTTTTTCAGGTTGTACAGTCTTTCTTACAGATCAGTTACATTAGTTGCAAGACAGTATAAGTACAGTATAAGGTTGGGGACTTATGGACTGCAAGAAGATCAAACCTATCCATTCTTAAGGAAATCAGCCCTGAGTGCTCACTGGAAGGACAGATCCTGAAGCTGAGGCTCCAATACTTTGGCCACCTCTTGAGAAGAGAAGACTCCCTGGAAAAGACCCTGATGTTGGGAAAGATGGAGGGCACAAGGAGAAGGGGATGACAGAGGACAAGATGGTTGGGCAGTGTTCTCGAAGCTACCAGCATGAGTTTGACCAAACTGCGGGAGGCAGTGGAAGACAGGAGTGCATGGCGTGCTCTGGTCCAGGGGGTCACAAAGAGTCGGACACGACTAAACGACTAAACAACAACACAAGGTTGGGGAAGAAGGGGTGGTGTGGTGAGGCTTCTATTCTTTTGTATAGTGCGGATGTGGGGTTTTGTGTCAGCGTCAACTGAGTAGGTTCTCTTTCTTTCCTTGGTAGTCTTTCTATTTAAAGAGTTTTTTGTGGGAAGACTGTGTGTGGCCTGTACACATACTGGTGTTCTTCATGCCGTGCATAGTTAAAACTGGTGGAATTTGCTGCCACAGGATGTAGCGATGGCTGCTAAATTGGACATATTCAGAAGGCAATTAGGCAAGGTCATGTGGCTATCAATGGCTGCTAAATATGATAGCTGTGTACCACTTCCAGTAATGGAGGTGTCCTGCCTCTGAATCGCAGTTGCAAAGAGAATGCCATTGGCGCTTCTGTCCTGCATTTAGGCTTCCTAGAGACATCAGGTTGACCACTGTGGGAACAGAATGCTGAATAATATGGGCCTTTTGCCTGATGCAGCAAGACTTTTCTTATGCTCTAACAGTTTAGTGATTATTATTTATTTTTCTCACACCATAGAAATTCATTGGGCAGTTTATATAGTGCGTATTGGAGTGGTACTGGCGGGTGCCAACTTCAAATTCTCATGCAGTTTTGAAGGTCATCAAATGATCCTGGGACACTCATTCTGTTTCTCCCGGCCTAACCTACCTCATAAGTTTATTGCAGGTATAAAATGGGTATAGGGCAGACAGGCTACCTTGAGCTCCTGGAAGGAGGTGTACGAATAAAAAAATTAAGGACTCAATAAAAGCAACACTGCTGTTGCCCAGCCAAAATGCAAGAAACCAGGCTGATTGTGAGACCCATGAAGAAGCCTGCACCTTCTTATGGAGATCCATTTCTCAGAGATCCTTGGTCATATAAGAAGTCAAAAAAATCACTTTTATAATATGAAGAATGCACATTAAAACAATATGTGTCATTTGCACACAGGTCAACTCTGTGATTGCTTAAGCACATCAACCAGTTACATGCTGTGTTCAGTGAATATTCTAGCATTTAAAATAAACTGACCATTTCTTGGATGGTTGTTGCTTTTTTAATGTATTGTAATTTTGGATTTTAATGTCAATCAATCAATCAATCAATCTTTATTACGGTCCAGAGACCCAACAAATCGTTGCAAAGCAATGCACAATTCAGACAGCCTACCTCCAGGTTAAACAAGCATTTTGTTCAGACTTAAAGATAGGGATCATTGGTTCTTGCAACCACCAATAAAAGCTTCGCCACTGCTAATGTTCTAGCATTTGTCCGGTCTTCCAATAGGAACCTGACATAGTGAGCCTCTGATTTTCCCGGGAAAGGTACCAGCGGTACCTTTGTTCTGATGTTTTCTGGTACCCTGCCCTGAATCATTATTTTTTAAATGAAGCATGGTACATAAATGTTTTTAACAAACAAACAAGAAGAAAATAAGGTTACCTTGTCATCCTGGTAAACCATTTGCAAGCAGGGAAAGGAACAAACAAACCTAGTTACTCAGATTTGTTCTCATTAAAATCACCAGTTTCCCTTTTTATTTTCAAGTCTCCTGTATGAACTCGTGCGTATACCACCAGAAGACTTGCCAGTTGGTTCCAGTATCACTTTGAAACAGACTGCTCTGTTCATAGAGAGTTCCACTGGCAGGTCCAAATTACAATGAAAGATTTGCAAATTGGATCTCCCTCCTCCTGGGGAGGATGTCTCTCTCTCTTCTTCTCTCTCTCTCTCTCTCTCTCTCTCTCTCTCTCTCTCACACACACACACACACACACACACACACACAGAGAGAGAGAGAGAGAGAGAGAGAATCAGTAGTGTGTGAGAGGGTAACTACACATACATCCACACCTGCATGAACCTGATTTAAACAACTCTTCCTCCTCAAAAAGAGATTATGCAAATCAAACCTACAGACATACAATCATTCACGCACAGCACCATCACAACACATTACAGTGGTACCTCGGGTTACAGACGCTGCAGGTTACGTGTTTTTGGGTTGCACACTGCGCCGAACCCAAAAGTACTGGAATGGGTTACTTCCAGGTTTCAGCGCTCGCACATGTGCAGAACTGCTAAATCACACTTTGCGCATGTGCAGAAGCGCCGAATCGCAACCCGCGTGTGTGCAGACGCGACGCTGCGGGTTGTGAACGTGCCTTCCGCACGGATCACGTTCGCAACCCGAGGTTCCACTGTACATCATACATGGGAGGTACACATCTTCTCTTCAACTATGTGCTGCATATCCAATTCCTGCTGTGCAAGTGGTATCTGCTAGATGGTATTAATGGAGGCTCCCAGACACTTCTCTAGGATATGTTCAACTTTCCAAACAAATCAAGCTTCTTGCCTATACTGCTGGCTAGTTATGTTGCCATTATTGGTGACAATCATATTTTAACTGCATCTATCATTACAAAACCAGGGAAAGGGAGCCGAGGCCTTCCATGTGTTGCTACATTGCAGCCCACATCATCCCTGACCATTGGTCATGCAAGTTGCAGTAGGGAGTTGCAGTAGAACGACATCTGGTGGGCGCTACAGCTTCCCCACCCCTGTTATTCCATGTTATTTACATCATGTTATTTCAACAGCACTGAGAGTATTCCAACAGTGCAGGAGACTATGGTGTGATTTCCTTTCAAAGCTGGTACACCTCACATGCAGCCAGTGGTGTTGCAGGAGATGCTGGGGTCAGATTTTCCCCTCTCCATGGCAGCATCCAGATGCACACTCAAGTCAATAATGGATTCTGCTGGGGAGAGGAAAAGCTGCATTGCTTAAGCAAACTGCTCTCTCATCAAAATTCATGTTGTCCAATTTTTCTTTCTGCTACTTACCTTAGGCTGAATTGCCTCCTTCTGACTCATGAGTTGAGACCTCAGAATGAGGACTTCCTCCTTACGTACTTCCAGCTCCTCACTGACAGAGGTCATCTGATCCAAGAGGACCCTATACGCTGGGGAACCGGGGGCAGTGACGTTAGGAGCGCTCTTTTCCATCAGGGCCTTCCTCAACTCGTTCAACTCATTCTTGAGTTTCTTATTCTCGGATTCAAGCTCTTGGCGCTGAAGCAAAGGGGGAGGAACACAAACACAGTTGCTCTCTCATTCACCAGCAATGCAAATTAGAAAGGTTTGGAGTGGGGTTTGGGGGGGAAGTCTTCACTGATCATGAGATAGCCTCTCTTACGGTGTTCTGGTAATGGTTACTGTACTATATGGTGTATGTAAAACATTGTGCACACACAAAATCCTTTGTAAATACTATTGTAATATGCTCTTTTAATTATGGCTGTTTTAGGGTAATGTATAGAATTGGGTCACTTTAAAAAAATCCAGAATTACCTTAAGCGATTCGTACTCTAACTCCGCACCTCTCATCTGAGGCCTTTCTTCCTCCTGGGGAAACAAAAGACAGAAATAAAGTTTTATCCTTTAGCCAGAACTAGCTACATCTGCAAAACAGAAAATTAGCAGGAAGAACAGCATGATTAATTTTACAAACTTTTTGGGGAGTGTGTGTGATACAGTGGTGCCCCGCAAGACGAATGCCTCGCAAGACAGAAAACCCGCTAGACGAAACGGTTTTCCGTTTTGGAGGTGCTTCGCAAAACGAATTTCCTATGGGCTTGCTTCGCAAGACGAAAATGTCTTGCGAGTTCCTGCAGGGTTTTTTTCTCTCCCCCCCCCTTTTCCCCAAGCCGCTAAGCCGCTTATCAGCTGATCCGCTAAGCCGCTAAACAGCTGATCCGCTAAGCCGCTAAACCGCTTAACAGCTGATCGCTAAGCAGCTTATCAGCTGATCCGCTAAGCCGCTTAACAGCTGAGCCGCTAAGCCGCTTATCAGCTGATCCGCTAAGCCGCTTATCAGCTGATCCGCTAAGCCGCTTATCAGCTGATCCGCTAAGCCGCTTATCAGCTGATCCGCTAAGCCGCTTAACAGCTGATCCGCTAAGCCGCTTAACAACTGATCCGCTAAGCCGCTTATCAGCTGATCCGCTAAGCTCGCTAAGCCGCTAATAGCGCTAAGTCGCTAAGCCGCTAATGGGCTTGCTTCGCAAGACAAAAAAACCGCAAGACGAAGAGAATCGCGGAACGGATTCTTTTCGTCTTGCGAGGCACCACTGTACAATGTTATTGGTGTATCTGATACTTATATTGTTTTTATACTTCATAAATATTCACACTGAGGCAATTAAAACCACACATAATAGGAATCAGGATCTGGTCTGTAGTGGAAGTCCTCCAGCTTTGAAAAAACCCTCTCTAACAGTGCAATCCTATGCCATTATATGGTCAGAACCAAGTCCTGCTAAGTTCAATAGCGCTCTACAATGGCAATGTAAAGACAAGCCACAGTCCAATTTGCATATCCCCAAACACTACACTGAGGCTGCCACTTCATGTAGTCAGGCAAGTCCAGAAACCAACCTCAACCAGAAGACAGATGCTAAGAGTACAGGGAATGGCCTAAAGTAACCTCCCATGCTTAAAAATGCCCCCCAAATGGACAGTTTAGCTGATTAATGTAATGTAAAATTAAAGTAAGAGGAAGATTCAGGAACAAATCAATTTTTAAGGTTCACAGGAGTTACTCATGGAAGCAAAATGTCCTTAAAAGCAAGGATACCCTCTAAGCCTCCAACATCAATTAATCAATCAACACAATGCAGAATTAAGAAGCACACAACTGCTGTCTTTTGACACAATAAAGAAGAAGAAGAGTTTGGATTTGATATCCCACTTTATCACTACTCTAAGGAGTCTCAAAGCGGCTAACAATCTCCTTTTCCCTTCCTCCCCCACAACAAACACTCTGTGAGGTGAGTGGGGCTCAGAGACTTCAGAGAAGTATGACTGGCCCGAGGTCACCCAGCAGCTGCATGTGGAGGAGCGGAGACGCGAACCCAGTTCACCAGATTACGAGTCTACCACTCTTAACCACTATACCACACTGGCTCTCAAAGACACCACATGGGAAAGCCAGTGAAGTACTCAGGCGTTACAGCCTGCATCTTGCCTCAGGTATGTCCCTCTTGCATTCTGACAAGCATAGCTCTTCAGCCTTTTTACCAGGACACCATTGCTGGACTAAGACCCCAAATTTCACCAGTATTTAGGGATAGCTTTGGCCACCTCATGAGAAGAGAAGACTCCCTGGAAAAGACCCTGATGTTGGGAAAGATGGAGGGCACAAGAAGAAGGGGACGACAGAGGGCGAGATGGTTGGACAGTGTCCTCGAAGCTACCAGCATGAGTTTGACCAAACTGCGGGAGGCAGTGGAAGACAGGAGTCCCTGGCGTGCTCTGGTCCATGGGGTCACAAAGAGTCGGACACGACTAAATGACTAAACAACAACAACAACAAATATTATAAACAAAGCCAAACCATTTTGGTCTTTACCTTGACCTTAGTTCGGAGAGCTTGTTCCTCTTTCTTGTCCAGCTCATCCTGCAAGGATTGCTTTTCCTGCTCCAGCTCTGTAACCCGTTTTTGTAATTTAAGGAATAGAGACATGTCCAGAGGTGCTTTCTTCTCGCTTGGCTCCTGATTCAAGGGAAATCGTGGGCAGGTCAGAATGTTTCCAACTTACAAAAAGGGAGATTTTTTTGGGGGGGGGGGAGCAGTCTGCACATTAGCTACCATCCTGAGGAGAAAGCTGGAAAGCTGATTGTTCCTTCATAACAAAAGCATAAGGTGTGGGGCATGGTTCTTTCACCTGGCATGAAGAGTTTCTCCTACAGTATCAGCTGTTGCCATGGACAAGGAATTGGTAGGGAAATGGTCCATGCAAAATGGAAGAACCACACCGCATGAAGGCAACGCCATGGAGATGCTTTTCCAAGCTGGTTCCGACTGAGCATGTTAACATGCAGACTGTCTCTTAGAAGCAGGGATGGGAGGGAAGCAATGACTAGAGGTATAGAAAGGTTACTTGATTAGGAGAGCTATTTACTGGCATCCGGAATTTTCCCAATGTTATTTTTTGAAATCACAACTTTAAAAAAGTCATTTTGATAAATAAATCTAATATAAAAAAGCATCTATCCTAAAGCCTTAAAGGCAGAAAACTAGTAACTAACTAGAAGGTTTAAGGTCTATGACCAATCATACCTTTCCTTCTTATTTGTTTGAAAGGGGAGGGGAGGAGGGAAAAAAGAGTAGGTTTGCAGTTAGTTTCAAAGAAAATAATAAGCACAGTAAGTTTCTGTAACCAAAGAGCAGTGAGATAAACACCATTGCTTAAAAACTTGGATCTACTATTAGATAACCTAGCAGGGTGAATATGTGAAAGCAATTGGAATTATTTCCGTATACCCAGAAATGCATGTCTTGGTTGGATATTCAAAGACTGCATGTGCTCATCTCTGCATTTTTGTGTGGCCTATCAAAAACACAAAGGAGTGGTCATATAACCAATTGCTTTCATACCCTAGTGATATCAGTTAAGTAGAAAACACAACAGCCCATCACATACTACTCAACACGTGGCAGACCACCTAGGATATGAAATATACTTTATGTTGAAGGAGAAACTATGGCACAGAGGACTGGTCTCCACACAAATTTAAACAGTCCTCAATGTATTTTTTTTCAGTATGATACAGTATGTCTTCTCAAGTTTGAAGAAAATGGAGAAAAGCTTAAGGTTCACTTTCCCTACAGGAACTGTGCAACTCCCTCCCTTTGGCCACCCAAAAGTGGGGTATAAATATGCCCTATTCCTCCTCCTAGTGCCCTGTTCCTCAGCTAGCCTTTTTCCAGCTAGCATCCAAAGAACAATGGTTGGGGAGCACAGAAGGGTTCACCCCTACCTTGGGAAGCTACAATGTTCAGGGGGGGAGAAAATAAACAAGAAAAACAGAACAAATCAGCACCCCTCTTGGTCTTTAGGCATCAGCTATAGCTTAAGGGACCCCTGACCATTAGGTCCAGTCGCGGACCACACTGGGGTTGCGGCGCTCATCCTGCTTTATTGGCCAAGGGAGCCAGCATACAGCTTCTGGGTCATGTGGCCAGCATGACTAAGCCGCTTCTGGCAAACCAGAGCAGCACACGGAAACGCCGTTTACCTTCCCGCCGGAGTGGTACCTATTTATCTACTTGCACTTTGATGTGCTTCCAAACTGCTAGGTTGGCAGAAGCAGGGACCAAGCAACGGAAGCTCACCCCGTCACGGGGATTCGAACTGCTGACCTTCTGATCAGCAAGCCCTAGGCTCTGTGGTTTAACCCACAGCGCCACCTGCGTCCCTCCAGCTATAGCTTATTATCTAGCAAAATACTTCCACACATGCTGTGCATGGCAAAAGTGCCAGGTTCAATTCCTGACATTTTTGTGCAAAGAGATCAAGTAGCAGGTATTTGGAAAAGCCTGTTCCTGGGAGGCTAGAGCATCACTGCCACTGTCACTTTTCCTCAGCCTGCAGTCCTCCAATTGCTTTGGACTACAACTCTCATCAAGGGACGCGGGTGGTGCTGTGGGCTAAACCACAGAGCCTAGGACTTGCTGATCAGAAGGTCGGCGGTTCGAATCCCTGCGACGGGGTGAGCTCCCGTCTTTCGGTCCCAGCTCCTGCCAACCTAGCAGTTCAAAAGCACATCAAAGTGCAAATAGATAAATAGGTATTGCTCTGGCGGGAAGGTAAACGGTGTTTCTGTGTGCTGCTCTGGTTCACCAGAAGCGGCTTAGTCATGCTGGCCACATGACCCAGAAGCTGTATGCTGGCTCCCTTGGCCAATAAAGCAGGACGAGCGCCGCAACCCCAGAGTCATGCCGCGACTGGACCTAATGGTCAGGGGTCCCTTTACTTTACAACTCTCATCAGCCACAGTTTGCATGGCTAATGGCCAAGGATTACATGAGTTGTAGTCCCAAACATCAGGAGAGCACCAAGTTGAGGAAGTCAACAATACCAGGCATCTTTCTATGTACTGACTAGAGCCCTAGCGATATAGTTCAACAGGATGAGATGGGGATGGCTGAGAAGTTATTTGTTGTTACTCTGAAGCTGTGCACAGAGCACTCATAAGAGAGGAGTGAAAAACTCAGCTGCCTTCTTTCCTAGTGGGTGTTCTCAGAGTCATCACCGCTAACCCAAACAGAAGAATAGCATGGAAGTAGGGAGGGCAGCTTGCATTTCAAAGACACAACAGGTCCTTCCCAGCGCCTTTGTATCAGTTTCCCCCAGGTGAATGAGAATAGGTTGACACAAGAACACCAATCACAAAGCTGCCTATTGGATGGAAGGGAGTTCTGTTGAGTTGTGAGAGTGCTTGTTGTCTGGACCATACCTAGTACCTAAGCTGACAAAGTAGGCAAGACGCGTCCTGGACCAATTAATTGCCTTAAAAACTTTGCCCACTTTCAAGTGATTGTGTTCTCAAGCGCCATGATTAGAGGGAAAGGAAAGAAAATCTTCCTGTGTGTCTTGTCGGGTGGTTATCTAGCCAGGTAGTGCTTCTTTAGGAAGAGAGGGGACAATAGGGGCTTATGCCAAGCAGAAAGCGAAATCTTATCCCAAGAAATGGCTGGAGGAGCATCTCCTTCCAGAACCAACGCAGCAAATTTGTGCTTCTACGAAGCAAGTATTTGGTTCCCTTTTCTCGTTTTAAAACCCATATGCAGCAAATAATAAATAAGACAAAACAGCTTATGAATTCCACCACCATAAAACATATAATGCATCCATAAGCATCCAATATTTTTCATTTAGTGCTATATAACCATTATCAAGCAGCTGCAACAACATTTGAATTATTCATAACTGATACTCATTTCCTAAGGCAGTAACATAGCTGAGTAATCATTCTGGAAATATCCCAAACCTTCTAGTACTTAAAATGCAGAGCAAGCTGCCATTAAAAATGTGCCCTTCAAAAACAGTTCTCTCCCTCCCTCCCTATCACCAAGATGACAATTCATCTAAATTGGAAAGCTACCTTACAAGTTACAATATTTGATCCCAGTAAATTTCAAGGGCTCACCCATATTGTGATGTCAAGACACCTATCTGAACATAATGCCCGAACAACAGGCTAGTTCAATGCTTTGCAAAGCTTTAAACCCCTAATTGGTTCAAGTTGCAATGCTCTGTTGCCTGCTTTGTTGGCTTATTCATTTCTTGAATTCTCAGACTGGTAAATTTGGGGTACCAGGTGGAGTCCAGACCCACCAGAATTTTCAGAAATCCTATGTCCATAAAACACAAGTTTCCTGATACCAGTAGAAAAGAATCCTGATGTAGCAGTTCCTTACAGAAGTAATTTTCATAAAATGTTCCTAGGAACACTGGAGTTCCGCAAATATTTGAAGTTATTAAGTATTATATTGTTGAACTTGCATGTGGTTGAAAGCTGCTGCCTACCTGCAGCTGCAAGTTTTCCTTCCTACCCCATCTTCTAATTCTGACTAGCAAAAGGCTACTCATGCCAAGCAGATATGGGTAACTGTATATTAGGGGTTGCCAATATGGCACTCTTCAGTTGCTGTTGGACCACAACTTCCATCACCCCTGACTAGTGGCCATGCTTGCTAGGGCTGATGGGAGTTGTAGTTCCACAGCATCTACAGGACTATCCCTGCTATATATATGCATGTTACAATTAGATTGCAAGGATGTTATTGTTAAACCCTGGCTATCAGTTGTATGTCAAACATAGCACATGTGCACACAGTTTATCATTGAACAAGATATGCCATTTCAAAGAAATTCACAGAAATAGCATACCCTTCCTATGAGAACAGCATAGTGAAAAACTGATATTGCAGTAGCAATTTACAATTTGAAGTGGGGGAAATCCATGGTGGTCTCAAAGCTATAAGCAGACTCTGATTCTTTTGTATTCTTTGATCTTACCTCTGTTCTCATTGGAAATTCTTCTGCCTCAGTGATCTCAGAGCTATAGGTGTATTCTGATTCATTGCTACTATGCGTGGAATCTGTTCTTTTGTGTCCAGGCTTGGAGATGCTCTGGGGGGGGGAAGAAAAGTGGGCAGGAAAATATGATAGCTCTAGTGTTTGTCTTTTGCACTTCCAAACCCCAGAGATCTCACGCATGAGTGCTTTGTAGAAGTCAGGGACTGATTTGCCTCAGTCATGTGAAGGCAAATGAAAGAGAGGGACTAAGAAAGTAGCAGGGTGGTATAATAATAATAATAATAATAATAATAATAATAATAATAATAATAATAATAATAATGTGTTATTTATACCCCGCCCATCTGGCTGGGTTTCACCAGCCACTCTGGGCGCCATCTAACTGAATATTAAAATCAGCTTCCCTAAACAGGGAACAGTTGTCTTTTAATAGTAAAATAGTTGCTTATTGGCTTGACATCTGCTGGGAGGGCGTTCCACAAGGCAAGCACCACTACCGAGAAGGCCCTCTGCCTGGTTCCCTGTAACCTCACTTCTCACAGGAAGGGAATCGCCAGAAGGCCCTCAGCTCTGGACCTCAGTGTCCAGGCTGGACGGTGGGGGTGGAGACACTCCTTCAGGCATATAGGACCAAGGCCATTTAGGGCTTTAAGGGTCGTTTAGGGCTGGTAAAGGATTAAGCAATGCCTCTGCATCTCCTACCTTTCTACTCCAAATTGCGTCCGTCCGTCCCCCCTCCCCTACTTTTCAGCTGTGCAGACGCAATCTGTGTTTCCAGACCCATGTCTGCTAGGGAAGATCTTGTTCAGCCTAGAAACTTTTTCAAATGAAATTTTTTCCAGGTCCTTTAAGCCACTCACCACCATAACCTTCATCTCATCCTTGAGGTCATCATATCGCTCCTCTAATCGGCTGAACTCCTGAAGCAGATTCTGATATCTCTGCCTTTCATTGTTCAAATCCAAGTCTAGCTGCTTTGTCTCCTCAGTGAACCTTTTCTCCATGACCTCTGTAAAACAAAGTATGAAATGCAAATTTACATATACAGTCGTACTTTGGATCTCAAACACCTTGACTCCCAAAGAAATCGGCTCCCGAACGATCGAAACCCAGAAGTGAGTGTTCTGGTTTTCGAACGATTTTAGGAAGCCGAACATCTGCTGCGGCTTCCGATTGGCTGCAGGAGTGTCCTGCAGCCAATCAGAAGCTGTGCCTTGCTTTTCAAACGGATCTGAGATTTGAACGGACTCCCGTAACGCATTCTGTTCGAGAACCAAGGTACGACTGTATTACATTTGTAGAGCAAGAAACCATGCATTTTCGTATCTAGAGACTATGGTTGCTTCCAGAAGACCTGTTATTGAGAATTCATCCTGATTTGTTTGCAGGGAAATTAAACAATGTTAGATATTTAAAGAGCATTCATTCCAATTTGTTTGCAAGGAGGTTACATGATACTGGATCAAACCAGTATTCAGAAATCCTACTGAAAACTGGGATTTTGTCCCAGGTAAGTAGGTGTAGGATTGCAGCCTAAGTAAGGAATTGTGGCCAGCTCCCAGATTTGAAACAGTATGGCTACAAAGCTCCTGTCCTTGAACCACATTAGCAGCTAGTGCATCCAGCTGTGGAATGGTCAATTCCTCGGTAAGATTTAAGCAACTTCTTTAGCATCGCTACAGTTCAATATCTGAGGCTCAGAGACCATTTAACTACTCTCTTAAAAAAAGAAACTCTAATCCCACAATTCAATGCTATGCAAATGAGGCAGTAAGGCTGGTTCAGGACTCACTTATGCACATTTTATCCTCCTTGTGATATTGCCTCTAGCCCTGAACCAGTGCAATATTCTACTCTCAAATAATGGATGGGGAAAAGAGAGAGACAGCCTTTCTGCATGGTGATAATTTGATGCTTACACAGCCCATTTCACTTTGCTTTCTCCCGGGAGTGATGATACTGAGTTCCTTGGGGTCAGTGATTCAAAGTGGAGGCCCATCATGTTACAGAGTTTTGCTTAATTGATAAAAAAGCAGAGGAGAGAAAAGGGAGAGAAGAAGGGAGTGTGTGTGTGTGTGTGCATGCAAAAACCATCAACCAAACCAAACTTCTGAACCAAGGTTACCTGTTATCTCTTTGGCCTGGTCCTGGATCCGACGGTTCAGCTCATCCTTTTCTGTTTTAAGCAGTGTGTTTTGCTCTTTTAATTCCAGTACCAACTAAAAAAGAAAAAAAATAGTATTGGGAAAGGTTCGCAGCTGAAACAGAAAAAAATCCATCTTAACAAGTACACTGTTTGAGTAACAAATTAAACTATTTTTCCTGGGCAATTCTAGACAAAGCTAATCAGTCAATCTGCATGGATGATACATCTACTGCTATCACACCTTGTCTATATACAGCATTTTCATCAAATCTGATTGGAAATCAAGCTCTGCATAACATAGAAACAGTGTTGGCTGTGCCCATTGGAACTGATGGGGTGGAAGGCTGAGAGGCCAAACATAGGTGGAGCCTGAGCCAATGACAGGCAAAAATCAAATAATTCTGAGTTTGGTTCCTATGCTCACCAAGTTCTACAAAGGCAACACTAAGACTAAGGAGGAAGCTGATAAGCAGTGGATTGGGAGTAAAGAAGAAGGCTGGCAGGTGGGGCCTGACTGAAGGCAGACTGAAGTTGGTGGGGCAGGGTGCCATTCGCCCTAATCAACCAACCTCCACTCCCGAGAAAAATCAATAATCATGCAAAACTGAACTGAGCATATTCTCTCTCTGCTTACCAGAGTCTCTACTTCCCTTCCCTTCCTAAGTATAGGCTGAAATGCTTTTTCAGCCTGGACCTCTCTTCGTGTGCTCTATAAAGGAGCATTTACACTGAAAGGATAAATTAATATCTTATTTATAAGTGGGGGAAATGCTAGCCAGCTTTTTTATGCCTCCATGTCAATCGAGGAAGGTAAAGTCAATTAAAATTACAATCTCACAATAAAGTTACAGCATCAGTTAAATTACAACAGGGTCAGGCGTAATACATTTATCTAGCTGGCAAGGGAAATGGAAAGGTCTAGTTGTTAGAAAACAGCCAAAGAGGAGACCACCTGAATCTTGGAAGGGGAGGGGGAAATCCACAACCAGGGCACCACCACAGAGAAGGCCCTCTCACTAGCCTCTGCCAACTATACTTCCAGCTGAAGTGAGAGACACAGAAGGGCCTCTCCATCAGATCTTAGGCAGCAGGGAGGCAGGCCGGTATAAGAGGTGTCTGTCCTTTAGGTATGCTGGACCTAAGCCATTCAAGTAATCACCAACTATTTGAATTGTGTCCAGAAACAAACTGAAAAGCAGCACAGGCAATGCAGAATATGTGCAAAACAGTCCCATGCCAAGGGCCCATTAACATTCCATGCCAACTGAAGGTTCCACAGAAGAAGAGTTTGGAGTCTCAAAGCGGCTAACATTCTCCTTTCCCTTCCTCCCCCACAACAAACACTCTGTGAGGTGAGTGAGGCTGAGAGACTTCAGAGAAGTGTGACTGGCCCAAGGTCACCCAGCAGCTGCATGTGGAGGAGCAGGGAAGCGAACCCGGTTCCCCAGATTACGAGACTACTGCTCTTAACAACTACACCACACTGGCTCTCTTGACGCTTCCTCTGTATCCCCATTTACAGCATATTGCAATAATCCAATCTAGGTGCAACTAAGGTGATCTCCTCAGTAAAGGGCACATCTGGCCCACAAAACACACATTTCTTACCTTTTCTAAGAGGGTGTCTATCACCAATGATTTCTATAAGTTGAATCTTAAACATAACTGGCAGTTATCTAAACACTCAAAGCCCCCTTGCAGCATAGAGATGGAGTTTGGTTCCATTTTTCTCCTTTTTTACAGAAACAAAACGCCCAGCTCATCACCGCAGATTAAGAGTTCTGTTTCTCATCTGCTTTCCCTTTGGGGTTTTAGGCTGCGTTTCCCCTCACCTTCTCCAATGCAATAGGGCCACCCAGTCTCCAGCTTACATTGCAGCAGCTTTCTGATCCGTCTCTGGCTCTCCACCATGATGTGTCCAGAAGGAGACTTCTCAGATTCTGCCTTCAGCTCCCATCCTGGGCTTTCATCCATTCTGGCTCTGACTCTCCCTTCACTTCTGCTCTCTCTATGTCTGAGTCTCTGCTCCTGTCCTCTCTGTCCCTGACTTCTGTGTCCTCTGCACCTCCTCTCTCTTTCTCTCTGGTTGCTCCTGCGCCTTACGAGGCAATGAGGAGGACATGGGGACACTAGGCATCTAGCCACTTCCAGTCTGACTCCATTTGCATCTCAGGGAGTCCAAGTCCAACTTATCGTGCAGCATCAATAAAGGATGCAGCCCTAGGTATCTCACATATGTTTGGGCTTATGATTATGCACAAATGCGCCTTCAGGTCGTTCCTAAAGTTCTGTGCTGCAAAGCAAGACGTACTCACCTGGTCTGTTTCTTGTTTGTATATTTCTGCTTGTTCCTCAATCGTCTTCTTCTCAGTCTGTGTTTGGTGCAGTTCCTTTCTGAGCTTGCTAATCTCCTCTTGAAGGCTAAGGACACGGTTGGTGGCATTCTTGGCCTCTTCTTCGCTCATTTTAAGTCGTTCTACATCATTCTTTAGCTTCTCTGTCTCAGACGTATATGCTGCTTCCAGAGTACTTAGTTTCTCAATTAGGGATTTGGAGTCTTTGGACTGCGTAAAGCAAAAAATGATAGAGATCAATGTTTGCAATAGCTTTCATGCTAGGAAAAGATGTATTTATCATCATTTCTCAGCTATCCACAGAATATGCACAACTTCACACAATGAAAATGTCTGTTGTAAAGTAGGGACAGACAAATCAGTTATTGTCTGTTTCCCTCAGTTTTTCATTTTTCAATCTTAAATTCTCATTTTCACATCAGTTTACAAATTCTTCCCCCCCCCAAAAAAAGCCCTTGTGCAATTTCATCAGCATTTTACTACAAGATTCTAATGTACAAATTATTATATGCAATTGTGCCAGATATGTTCATTTTTGCAAGCAATTTCCCCTAATGTAATGCAATTTTGTGCAAACCTTTCCCAGAATATTTTTTTTGTACATATTAACTGGTTGGAGAACTGCATTGCAAAATAATGCGAATTTTGAAGGATGACCACATTTCAATCTGCATGATGTTTCAGGTAGTGCAAATTTTATAGTGGGTATGTTTTTGCACCTTACATGTTGTTTTTATAGCACAAGCTAGTTAGATATCACTTGCGAAATCTGCATCTGATTGCATCATACTTGCTAAAGCTGGGATGAACAACCTGTGGCCCTTCAGGTGATGTTGGACTGCAACTCCCATCAGCCCCAGTCAGCATGGCCAATGGCCAATAATGATGGGAGGTGGAGTCCAACGACATCTGGAGGGCTCCAAGTTCCTCATTCTTCTGCTAGAATGAAGGAGTTCAACTCAGTTGTCAGTTTATGGGGATACTCTGCCTTTCTACAAGAGCATCCAAAAGCAGCTTATATAGTACTCCAAATAGCCCTTATTTCAAAATGCAGATGACGTAAGCTTCTAGCCATCCAACCCACAGACATGTCACTTTACCTGCTCATCGATTCTACGTTGCAGCTGCATGATCTTGTTCTCCATGCCAACGTTGAGTTTCTTGTAGTGTTCCACAGAGCGCGCCTCTATCTTCAGCTTCTTCAGCTCTCTCTTAGCCATCATGCGCCGGAAGCAGCACTGGAGATAGACAATTGCCTCCAAAGATCTGTGGTACCGCAGGCGAGCCAGCCAACCACGCACATGTTTCTGTATAATGGTGGCCTTGTGCCCACGAAGCATCTGCATATTAAAAACACACACACAATGAGGGGCCTTGTACTGCCATCAGGGACAATTAACTGATACCATGAACTGTGGCTAGTAAACTTAAATTTAAAAACAAAGATAGTTAAAGATAATTAAAGCCAAGAAATAAAGTAAGTAATATACTACTGCCTGTTTGGTACATGGAAAGCTGACTATGTTCCAGCAGTCTACAGTGCAGATTCCTTAAGTGATGTTACAAATATGTGCCCACACACACACACACACACACACACAATGTATGCCATACCATGGGTCATCAAAAGGATCTGGATTTTTCAAACTCTGGATAATATTAACTGCTCCATAGACTAGGGTTAAGTAAATTGTGTGAAACTGTTCCACAATATTCCCTTCTCCCAGTGCACTCTCACACAAATTTCATTTGGAGGTGGAGCATTTCAATACTCTTCCTTTGGGCAATGCCAGGCACTTCCCACAGCAGAGCCCCAAGTCTTATAACCATCATAATACATTAATCACTTTTGGTGATTATTTCAGTTTAAGAGTTCTTGAACCACAATCTAATGTTCTTTTGTTGATGCATAATGAACAGTTTGCAAATTCTTGATTAACTCCTTACGTTGTTTCGAACCACACTAGTAAATTACACCATGTGTCATAGAGGGGGAAACCTATACATGTCATAAAGAACTCAGACTAAACTGGTTTATACCAAAACACTGAAAGGTTCAACTGGCGAATTTGTCAATTTGGATTTCTGTATTTCTTCGATAAAACAGTCTTCCCCAACTTGGAGCTCTCCAGATGTTTTGGACTACAATTCACACAACAGAACTTGAAATCCAACACATCTGGAAGGTGTCAAGTTGAGGAAGGATGCCAAAAAACAGTGAAATAATTATCCATAATGATATGAAATTTACAAAGATGTAGAAAGACAGATGTTCTTAAAAACAGTATATTGATTAAAAATACAGAAAATGGTTAAACTTTCGAGTCATTTTAATATCATTTCATGTAACTAACAAATACTATGACACATGACACACTATCAGTGACATTTCGGCTACATCCACTGCTTTTAAATTGTCCTAGAAATACCTTGATTCAGGAGATATAGCAGATCCACATCTGGTAGTACAAGTGAACCAAGTACACCCAAAGATGGTCAAAATATTATAAATTTTACTAAGGACACCAAGTGGTTTACAATATAGTACATGTAAACCTGGAGCCAATGGAGCTTCCTGTGAAACTCACAGACATCACAACAGCATCTCTTCCAGGAACCTCCCGAAAATATGTGAAGCAGATGATTCAACTCCTTCAGACACCTTATTACAGTCATGTGACCACTAAACATACCAGTTTTATAATGGCTACTGACACCTGTTGCAATTGCTTCCCCCAGACAAAGTAGTTTTGTTAATGGAACTATCTTTAACTACAGGAACACAACTGACGTGTCACAGGACACCATGTGCCAACACATCTGGATCAGGTCTGATATATTAACAGAACCACATATACAGAGTTACAGTTGCAGAGGACACTGTTCCAGAAGGCTGCAGCCATTTGAAGAACAGAAAACAACTGAAATTGCTTCTCCGTAAGAATTCTCATACTTGGGGTGTCCTTGTAATCCTTAGGTGGTGTCCATTTCAAAAGATTAAGAAAAAAGAGGAAGGCTTTGGCTCAGAAATCAATCAATCAATCAATCAATCAATCAATCAATCAGAGTGTAACAGATTTTTAAAATAATATTAATGAAGTGAAAATCAAACGTAAGTGAGGCATAGTAAAGGTAAAGGGACCCCTGACCAGTAGGTCCAGTCATGGCAGACTCTGGGGTTGCGGCGCATGACTAAGCCGCTTCTGGTGAACCAGAGCAGCGCATGGAAACACCATTTACCTTCCCGCCGGAGCAGTACCTATTTATCTACTTGCACTTTGACGTGCTTTCGAACTGCTAGGTTGGCAGGAGCTGGGACGGAGCAACGGGAGCTCACCCCGTCGTGGGGATTCGAACTGCCAACCTTCTGATCAGCAAGTCCTAGGCTCTGTGGTTTAACCCACAGCGTCACCCGTGTCCCCAAAATGAGGCATAGAGAACAGGATATTGGGCTCTGATTAGAGCAGGGGTGGCAAACCTATGGCCTATGTGCCAAACCTGCCCTGCCCGGTCTCCCACTAGCTCGCAATACTGCGTTCATGAAACCACACCTACCAGCCCCAAATGCAACGTCACATGTGGGATCAGGTGTGGGGCACATAGAGATGCACCTAAAGCAGGAGGAGTTCAAGCATGCTTTGTGCAGTATCCCCACCCCTGCCGGCCAAGATTGACAGGTGGGTGGATAAAGAAGTCAAATGGTGTCAAAAGCTGGCCCATCAAGGAGGAGGAGACAAAGGGCTGGATTCTGCTAACGCAGCATGCTAGCAGAAGCCAGCGCAAGGGCTCCTGCAATTCAACAGGATTTTCTCCCCTCTCCTCCCCCAGAAAGATCTGAATTCAAAGACCTGCTCAGCCTAAAAACTCATCAAATGCCCTTAGCCCAGACCTCTCAATTGACTATGAAAAAACCCCAACGGACCTTGCCTTGAACTCCTTAAAGGAAGAGGCAGATATAAACAATAAAACAATGGAAACCCACCACAACCATCAAGTTGGGACACCAAACACTCATTGCTTGTTTGGCTAGTATTTCTCAAATGATGTTTAAAGGTATCATTTAGGATAATTAGGAATGTAATAGATTCTTCAGAGGATGAAGAAACTATAATTGCTACAAGGCTCATTCCAATTACAACACTCACCTCCTAACTGAAAATATTCTTTTAGTCACACAGCAGAATCAGGCCTTACAAAAGGCACTTCTCCTCATCATCTGAAGACTGCCTGCCTGCCAGTCTTCAGTCACATTCTTAGAAAGTCTGCACTATTTTGCCCCCCTAGAATATATCTCAAGTCATCTTTCATCACCTTTAGTGCAGCTGATTAGGGATTCGCTTTATTTAGAACATTTGTACTCCAAAAAGGCTCCCAGAGTGGCTTACATACAACCAACGAAAACAACCTGCCCACAGGTTTACAAAATACACGACACAAATGGAAATGTGGACATGGAGGGGAAAGGAAAAAAGCAACGTTATGCACCAATTCTTGAAGTTTAAGCAATAGTTCTTATAATGATCAGATGGAATTCACGTCCCAGTTTTGTTGCTGGAAAGTAACCAGGTAAATAGCTACTAAGTTCCCTGTAATAGGCATTTACTCACAATAATTTCTATGCTGCTACTTGTGCATTTGGAGAGTAAATGCAAAAACACCACAGATGAGAAATGTTACAAAGACCTTTGGTACAGGCAGAGCCTAAGACTCATCTCTTCCTTATCACTTTGATGACCCATTTGAACACTACTGATGTCTCTTGGGACTAACTGCAACTTCAGATCATACCACACTGAACTGTAATAGCTATCGTCATGCACTGATGTTTCTGTTGCAGTACAATTATTGTGCAATTTTCATTGATTACCTCCAACAGTTAGTTCTGACTAGCTCTGTGGTAACTACAATAACCACAAAGGAAATGCAACAGGCTAACAAAAACAGATGTTCCAAAACAAAACCAGTAATGAATCACCACATTAAAACTTATAAATGACACGTAATGGATGAAGCATCCTTAATTCCATAGCCAGAAAGCAGCTGAGCTGGTGATGTGGTTTAATTTTTGCGCTAGAAGGAATGTATTTTTTAAACTTATTAAAATACAATGCTTCTCAAAATAATTACTGCTGTTTTGAAAAGTAGCATAAGATCCCTTTAGTGCTTTATTAGCTTCTGTGTTTTTAATTTTCTTGTGTAATTTTTCCCATATGAATTGCAATTCTTTTACCGGAAGTCACCTTGAAACTTCTTTTATATAAAGAAAGCATGTTCAAGGAAGTTTCGAAAAGTGTCCAGTTATTGAAATCAAGATCCCATATTTGTTTAATGATAGCTAAAGTATGAAGAACCGGCATACTGTAAATCAAAATTTTAACTTAAAGCAAATTACTTTACATTTGACAAGTTTAAAGGTATGACTCCAGTTACTGGTATTATTCCTACTTTCGAGTGTCATGTGAGAGAAGAGCTACAAACAGAATTATTGTATGCTCTGGTTTTTCCAATCATTTCAAGGGTCCAGCTTGTGCACCAAAAATAGGTCTTTCCATGCCAAGGAATCAAGAAGTTCTAGCAGATAATGGAGCTCCAGCCATTTATCACAACTACCTGTACAAGCAGGTATCTTTGCCCCAAACCCTTCCCATAATTTTAGCATGTGGAAAATACAGACATACAGGGTTGATATGCAGGCAACAACTTTTTGTGGGGGAGTTACGTTCCTGCCCCCAATGCACGTTAGTGGAACGCACATAAGCCCTGCTCCCTATTCTGGCCACTTCTAGGTTGCGGTGATGCACGCACACACGGTCACACACATATTGAACACATGCAAAAGAGTTGTTGCCTGTACAATACCAAATCCACAGTTTTCCACCTAAGTATTTCACAGTTGAAGCACATTATCAGGACGAGTGGCTTCCTGTATTTTTAGAAATTACACCTTGGCAGTGAAATTGGTGCATGTCTTGAGAAATGAACCTCTAAAAATAACATTGTGAAATTTCATGTTTTATAGCATCCTAGAAGAAACACGGCCACATACTGTATTCAAGGAAGAAGAGGAAGAGGAAGAGGAAGAGGAAGAGGAAGAGGAAGAAGAAGAAGAAGAAGGAGAAGGAGAAGAAGAAGAAGAAGAAGAAGAAGAAGAAGAAGAAGAAGAAGAAGAAGAAGAAGAAGAAGAAGAAACAGACCCAGGAGTCAAGTAACAGACTCTCTTACCTGCTGATACTTCTTCCTAGCAATATAACCTCGCAAATATGACTGGAGAACCAGAGTGCCGGCTAGCGTGCGACGGTATCGCTTGCGGACAACATACATGCGCTGGAATTTCTGAATAATGATGGCAGCTTTGGTTCGTCTAAGGAAAGTGGCAAGGCTGACCAAGAAAAAATGAGAGGATAGAAGACAGTATTTACAAACTCCAAAGTAGTCTCTTAACATTAACACTTTATTACAAAGGTCCCAATGACAGCAAAATTTTGGATAATCCCAATAGAATCAGATACTTCTCCCCAGGCTTACATTACAGTGCTAAACCACCAAGTTCAAGGAACCTTATTCACTAATTACTGAGTTTAGGACTGCAGCCAATGCACCAAATTATTGTCATTGGCACATCTAACCTGTAAAAGCAAGGCTCAGAGAGCACCAGTCACATATTAACTGCTGGCCTATCTCCTTTTTGAAAATTTGCAGTGATATGCATTTCCCATGTTACATTAGCCCAACACTCGTAGACCCAAACTTGCAAAACCAATGGTGCATTTAAAAGATTTAAGATGAGCACACATGTTCCTTAGCAAAAGGTTTAAATAATGTTTCTTTAAATAACTGGATTGTTTGCATCGCATTCACATCAGGCATCCAGTCAGTCTGAATTACTGGGAATAACTTTGCAGGGAAAAGTCAACATCGGCATAATTTTACATATTTCTAACCTGCCTTCAGTTCAACTACTCTACAAAGGCAGATGCTGTTGACCAACAAAAGCAGTTGTGGAATCTTAAAAACTTCAGCACCAACGTTTACTAAAACAACAGCAGGAGCTATGTTCCAACAACAGGATTCTTGCTGGATCAGACCAATAGTCTTATTTAGTCTAGCCAAGCAAATGCCTTTGGGAAACCCAAAAGCAGAGCTTCAAGGCAGCAGCCCCTCCTATTGATGCTCCCCAACAACTGGTATTCGGTGGCATACTGCCTCTATACATGAGCTTGGTTCTTCAAGTGTAAATTGTCCTTAGCCAAAACAGCACCATCAGAAGGCTTAAGAGAAATCCAAGGCTTGTAATCTGTTGGGGGCAGGAGCTGGAGCAAGACTGAGCATACTCAGCGCGCGTGAAATGTTGACTGACAAAGGAGGGAAATGGAATAACTGGAATCCTCAACAGTAGCACTTAACATTTTCTTTCAGGCCCCACTTGACATGCTGGTGGTCATGGATACGCATCCTCCACAATCTGTTCTTTACAATCTACATCATCATGCTCAGTTAACCTGTGACCCGCCAAATGTAGCTCACTAGACACTATTATAGTACAGTTGGATACATGATATACCCCCCTTGCAATCACAGGCAGAAAGCATAACAGGAAGTTTATCAAGTTGGGTCCTATAACATAATGATCAGTACAGTGGTACCTTGGTTCTCAACGCCTTGGTACTCAACTTGGAACGCAAACACTGCAAACCTGGAAGTGTTCCAGTTTACTAACTTTTTTTGGAAGCCGAACGTGCTGTTTTGAGTGCCATGCTTCCGTTTTGAGTGTTATGCTGAGGTCTGTCTGTTGTTGCTATTTATTTTGCACTTTTGTTTTTGTGGCTCTTTTCATTTTGTTTTTGCGACTGTTTGGAACCCAGTTCAGCTACTAGTTGATTGATTATGTGACCCAGTTCAGCTACTGGTTGATTGATTATTGTTTATTGCTTTTATTTTATGGATCAATGTTCTCGTTAGATAGTAAAATTCATGTTAAATCGCTGTTTTAGGGGTTGTTTTTAAAAGTGTGGAATGGATTAATCCATTTTGCATTACTTTCTACGGGAAAGCATGTAGAAAGTTCCTTAGTTTTGGAACGCTTTAGTTTTGGAACGGACTTCTGGAACAGATTAAGTTTGAGAACCAAGGTACCACTGTACAGGAAAAACGGAAGGTTCAGTTGAGTTTTTGTTTAAAGCAACCCAGGCTTTTCTCAGGGGTCAGCTTACCATCTTGCCTGGTACCCTCGGACATATCTCTGAATGGTGATGGCTGCCTTCCTCATGCGCAGGTACTTCTTTCGCAACAACCATCCTCTGATGGTCTTTTGGATGCGGATGCATGCAGCTCTCAGTTTATCGGCCCTTATTTTTTCCAAGTAAGCTACCTGACCAGCCCGGAAAAATATTTTTGTCTTCCCAAACTGGTACTTATCCTTATCCTGTTTTCAGAAGAAATGTACAATCAGCGCCAGACCGAAAGTGACAAAGGATTAATAATAACAACAAGACTCAATGACAGCAGAATTGGTAAAGAGGGAACAGGCATCCTCTAAATCAGGGGTGGCTAATCTTTTGAGACAAAGGGACACGTTGACCCCTGGGAGTCACGGGAGCGGGTGGCGCTGTGGTCTAAACTACTAAGCCTCTTGGGCTTGCCAATCAGGTCAGTGGTTCGAATCCACACTATGGGGTGAGCTCCTGTTGCTCTGTCCCAGCTCCTGCCAACCTAGCAAATCAAAACCACACCAATGCAAGTAGATAAATAGGTATCCCTGCGGTGGGAAGGTAAATGGTGTTTCCATGCACTCTGGTTTCTGTCACAGTGTCCCGTTGTGCCAGAAGCAGTTTAGTCCTGCTGGCCACATGACCTGGAAAGTTGTCTGTGGACAAACGCCAGCTCCCTCGGCCTGAGTGCCGATGATGAGTGCCGCAACCCCATAGCCGCCTTTGACTGGACTTAACCGTCCATGGGTCCTTTACCTTTTTCCCTTACATATCAAAGTGGGAGTGGCTAAAGTTTAAAGTGGGTGTGGCGAGAACTACAATCCTCAAGGTTGCCTCCCAAAAGACTTTCCCACCAGCTAGCCTACGCTGATTTACATTGTTTTAATTGTTAATTATGAAATTCAGTAAATTGTTTTCTTTTTTAAAAATGTAGACAAATGGGAAGAAGAGTTGGAGGGCCGCAAAAACCTTTTGGAATCATGAGATCAAGGCAGGAGACCCATGGGAATGCTTAAAAAAACCTATATTTTATTTAATAATTATTATTATTATTATTATTATTATTATTATTATTATTACTAAAATAACAATGGGGGAGCCTTGGGAGCCAGAAAAATCCTTTTTGGGGGGCAGCCTCCTCTGCTATACACCGTGAAAGGACATGCTGAAAATCAGGTTAAATGAAAGGAGCAAAAGCATATAAAATCCTGTTGTTTTTAGCTTGTAGCCAGCCACGTAAAAGTAAAGTAATTAAAACATTGTGAGATTTGAAGGGGAATAATACATGGACTGTGGCTTTATTCTGAGCCACAAAGGTTACTTTAATATGCCAGGAAAATCCTGGATCGTGTTATTTACAGTGCTTGAAGGTATTCACCAAAAGAGCAATGTTCTCAACTGCCATCCCAGGGTCATCTGACAGCTCCCTTGCCCTATGGGAAGGTGAGAGCAAAGGCGGAACAGCCAGGAGGGTTGTCCATAATCTCACTCCTGGTAGCTGCTCCTTCCCTGAACCGCCACCAGAGGGCTACTCAAGAATAATCTCATGTACAAATTTGAGCAGAGGTAAGAAAAGGAAATTTCTGAAATAATAGGTGTACTGGTACCATTAAGCCTGAAAAGTGGACTATAAGAATCTTAAAGAAAGAAAGCTGCCATGAGTGTTGATGTAAATGGAAAACCAATATGGATACTGTGTAGGGGAAAGCTCAAACAAGGAGTGGAAGCCATCTTTGCTCAACCAAAGGGAAGAAGTCATCTTTGCGAAGCCATATGGGGCTTATTTTGTTGCCCTACGCCACTCAGCCACTAGCATGATTATTCTGTTAAATGAAACAGATCCAACCAACACCCTAATAATTTTGCAAGCTCAGCAAGCTTTACAGACAACAAGCACCATAAAGTCTACTACCAGAATAAGTTTCTCCAGGACATTTTTACATGTCTGCTTCCTGTCACTGAGGACATCTTTCTGCTTCATCAGCACACGATAGCGACTGAAAAATTCTTGATAGGTCCACCTGGTTTCAAGAAGCAGCAGAGTTAGGCAAACAAAAAGTTATCTGTGTATATATTGTATTCAAGCAAAACATCACAACATCAGCAGGCTCACCTGGAAGGGAAGCCAGCTGCACTGATTCGAATTGTTTCCAGCACACCACAAGCTCTGAGCTGTTGCACGGTCCGCTTTTCATCAAACCTAGAGATGAAAACATTGCTAATTTGAGGCAGAAACTTTGAGAAGATTCTACAGGTGTTTCCTACAACTGTACGGTTGCCTTAATGCTTGTGTGTTCTCTTTAATGTGTTGTAATGTTTACTTGCCAAAAAGTACTCCCATAAGTCACGTGATATGAAAAATCAAAATACGAAAGGGGATTCCTAGTTCCATCTTGGCCAATCTGCAAGTAGCTTCCAGATTTTCTTCTTCAATGTGTCCAAAAAGCACTCATGGAATATGTACCCTTCCCATGTTTCATCATAACATGGGAAACAGCTTTAATGTTTGAGAAGATAACATTTAGCTGAATCTAATGAAATGAGGAAGCACATGAAGACTTCCTATTTCATCCAAAATAAATAGCAGAGAAAATATATAGGTTTTCTCTCTGTAATTTTGAGCAGCAAGTACTGCATTTTAGATGCTATGCGCAAAACAACTTACATAAATGGGAACTTGAAATCATTTGGCTTAATACACCGCACGTAGTGAGGAGTTGTGGCATTAAGGGTCTCCATCAGAAGATGCAGAGAATTTCTGAACTATAGGAAAGAAATGAAAAGGGTGAAATCGAAAAGAAAAAAAGACACAGAAGCATTCTGATTTTTGAGCAAATTCTGCAAGTTGAACCTTCTCAGCCCAACAATATCTAAGAATATCAGGCAAAGACAAGTCATGCCACTAATTATTTTTTTGGTATTTATTGTTTAAAGAAGTTTATATACTTTACAAGGAATAATACAATTATTGATACAAACAGAAAAGTAGTAATTAAAAACAACTAAAATAAGCAGTAAACTAAAACGAGATTTAAAAACATCAATATTTACTATTTTATTTAACAAAATGTATGAATAATGTAATCCATTTACAAAAAAAAAGATGATCTGCATCTTTCATATTGATTGGATAGATTTGCTCCGAGTTTACTTCAATATTCCAGGAAGTCATACACCCTGGTTCTTAATGTTTTTGGTTTTTAATGAGAATTTAGTGTGTGCTTGTACTGGCTAATAACCCACAAAGCTCTCTTTTTTATTTTTAGAAGGTCAATAGCATTTCTCCACAAACGTTTACAGGGACTCTTCCCTCTTCCTGCCCTGTTATTAGGTGGGGTGTCCCTGAATGAATAGCATAGCAACAAAATTCACCCACCTGATGGCCCACTGTTTTCTTATGTTCCTTGCTTGTTTGGACCGTTTTAGACTTTGATGGTTTTACAGCCGCACGAGACAACGGCGTACGGCCTGAAGGTGTTGCTGTTGTGGGGCTGATGGGCTTCTCATCCCGAAAGAGCTCAGGCAGCATCTTAAACTAGTTCAGAAACGGGATAAAAGCACACCTCTATATTAGAAAGAGAAGGGCTTTCCCAAGGGAAATGCAATAAAATGGGAGAACCAAAAGGAAATAGGAAGGGGTAGCTTATCATGTCATTTCCGCTTTCCAGCTGCCAATTTGAAAACTTATGTAAGGAATGAAAAGTTTAAGTAAGCATGCTAATGGAAACAGTTTATTTATTTGATTCCATCTGTTAATTGCTTCCTCTAAAACTTCTCAAATCTCAAAATGATTTATTGCTATTCAATTGCATTTACTTGATTTCAAGTGGCTGGTAATGATGCAACATATCAAACTTCTCAGCTATGATTTAGAGGTCAGGAACATTATGTTTGCACCAGGCTACAGAGTGACTGGGAGGGCATAAAACAACAAGTGAGGCATCACATAGCCCACACAAAAACCAGAGGCATCACCACTGATGCAATGTGCTGAAATCGCTATAGCCAGGAGTGGTGCTACAGTGATGCTTAACTGCACAGTTCTAAAGCTGTCAAAATTGATATTCCAATTTCCCCCACTTCTGGGCAGTAGGGCATATATCCCTTTCATTGCAGTCTATGGGAAATAATGGAGCCATCACTGTAGCATGGGATAGCATTCTATAACTGAAGGGGATTGAGGAGGAACCGAATAGCAAAAGACTGCAGAACAGGCCAACGACAACATGTCAGTTTAGAGGAAACAAACCAATGCTCACACCCCAGGTCAAGCAATATTGCAGCCGAGTTGCTAGCAGTCAAAATATTAGAACATATCTTTCCATTTAAAGCCAGATGACAATAAAAAAGGAAAGCAAGCAAGCAGGGATTGGAACTCAGTTTTCTTTTTAAAAAAACAAAAACAAAACACCTACCGTTAGTTAATATAACTGAATTCAGGGAAGCTTGTTTGCCCTGTGCTTGGCAATAGGACCATTTTCACTTGCACAACTGTCAGTTTCACATCGCTATAGTGCAGGTGTAGGCAAAGGTGCAGCTAGATGCTCTGGCACCCAGAACGGCGTACAAGCTGTGCACCAGGGGGTGGGGCCAAGGGGCGGGACAAACATCCCAGGGGGCGAGATGCCCATGGAGGCGAGCAAGCCATCTATGGTGGGGTGGAGCGAACCGCCCATGGCGGGCTGCTTCCTGGGGGAGGGGGGAGGAAGCCACACCGCTTTGCCAGCAGCCTTCCTCCCTTCCCTCTTCCTTTTGACAGCTCAGGGGACACTCCCCACCCCAGGACACAGCCCAGGAGTGGGGGGCAACAGCGCGCCGCACGCCCGTGACTCCCAAGCCTCGCCTGAACTGTCAAAACGAAGGAAGAAGGGGGGAACGCCGCTGTGCTGGTCCCGTGGGCTAACCGAGAGGCGAGGTCCGAGTCCAGTCCGAGGTCAAAGGTGCAATAGGGAGGCAGTCCGTAGTAGCTGAAGCTGGGTGCAGGGCAGGGAGTCAGGTGAGGTCAGGAGCTCCGGCAGGAAAGCAGGACAGGGTTCAGGCAGGAACTGTCAACCAACAATGTTGCTCCCGCAACTTGGGACTGGGGCTGGCTGGCTTTTATCTGCCCCAAGGCATAGGGCGGCCCCGATTCTCAGGTGACTTGCCTCTCCTGGCCTGGAGGCGAGCACTCCTCCTGCGGGAACTTAGTTCCCTCCGCCTCTCTGCCCTGAGCCTCTGCAGCTCGGGAGAAGCTGGAGGATTACCAGACCCAGAGGCAACCTCAGCTTCCTCTGACGGGGCTGAGAGTGGAGCACCTGCAGGCAATGGGTCCTCCATCACCTCAGGTGCCAGAGCAGACTCAGCTGGTGCCTACACCTGAGGATCCAGCACAGGTGAGGACCCTTCAGGCTTAAGCCCCAGCCCCGGCTCAGCTGGGTCTGGAGGCAGGGAATCCTGTGCAAGCTAGGATTCCTCAGGTTCAGCACCCGAGTCCGAATCCCAGGCGATCACAGCCGCCAGCAAGGCAGCACAGCTCTGCCCCTTCCCCCAACAGCTCAGTGTAGTCTTGGGAGTCGTGGGCGGGCAGCGCACTGAATGTCACCCCCCTCAGTGATGACACCCGGAGCGAGCCGCCCCCACCGCCCCCCTTCCTCTGCCCCTGGGTGTAGGAAATCTTTGGCCCTCCAGATGTGGTTGAACTGCTGTTCCCATCAATACCAGAAAGTGAAGCGAACAACCAGAGTTGATGGGAGCTGTAGCAACCTCTGGAGGGCCAAAAATTCCCCATACCTGCTGTTGTGCTCATGGAAACCAAGGCAGCAAAAGTGTGGACAGTTCAAGTGCAGCCCAACTGAAGTCAAAGGGCCTTGCGCACACTTAACATGCAGGATGGCGGCCCAAGACTGCATCCAGACTAGCACTTTTGTAGCATTTAATTGCATTTCCTTTAATCTCTTGCTCTCAGGTGGAGATGCATTTGGCTTCTGCTATAAGAAATAAGCAGTTCTAGGTGAATGGGTGCAAGTTCACCAGAACTTCTGCTTAAAGAGAAATATTCTGATAATGGCAGATGGAGCAGGACAATGGCAAAGAAGGAGGCAGAATGTTTTGATTGTCCAGACCCATCCAAGGAAAGGCAAATATTTTCATATGGGTGAAATCCAGAAATGCAGTAATAAATAGGAATAAAGAGGATATCACTCAGCCTGTATCACATTGCTTAAAATAAATAAATGCAGAACTACATATATACTGCTAGTCTAGACACACCTTAGGTGTTCAAATTTTTTAGCAATGCATTAGGTTTTAGGATTACCTTCTGGGGAAGATGTATGGTGAAAAACAAAGCAGAGAGATTATAAATAAAAAAACATACAGCCAAACATGAATAACTGCCTACTCACTGTGACATTTCTGTAAACACAATCCTAAAAAATGGTTTAAATATTAGGGAGCAGCTTAAATGGTTGCTCCCTAATATGTGTGCATAGGATTACAGCCTGCATTACCAAAGTCAAATTGCTTTTGTACACATATTTTAAAATGCAAATGTTAAACATACTTGGTAGAACTAGCTTTAGAAACAGAATACCTTCGTCAATTATCACCATCATCAATCATCTATGAAGTGCCTAACATTTTCTAAGTGTCGTACACAGATTGAAAAATAAGACAGTCCCTGCCCACATGCTTGCGATTTAAAAACTATGACACAAATGGAAAAAGGGAAGGGAAGAGAAGAGAAAACAAGCAAATGCAGCAGTTCTTAAAGTTACATTGTTTTAACAACTAGAAGGTATGTTGTTCAACCCGGAGGGCAATTAGACTTGATTACACAAAGTTCATGTAATAAATTTAAAAACAGGCTTTTGGGTTCAGGATATATAAAGTACAAATGGCAAGTCACGAGGCACAAATCAGCAGACAAACTCTAGTTTCGGGGGAGAGGGGATTCAATGTTACTCCGAGTCAAATCAATGGATAAAATTAATATCTAATTTCAGTGGGCTAAAATCATCTGGAACTCAACCTTTAGTACTGGGGAGGAGGGAATCTCAATACTAACCTTACTTGATTTTAGAACTTTGATCTGCTCTTCATAGACAGTATCTTTGTTTTTTTCCAAAAACCCTTCACACTGGTACTCCACCTGGAAGTACAAAATATCTCATTTTACAAGACAAAAAATGAAAATTCAGAAGGATTAATTTATCTAAGCAAAAATACATCCTGCAACCTCAAAATCTAGAAAAAATACGTATTAAAAATCACTATTCTTGCTACTGTGATATTTTACACCTTTAATGAACTTAAAGGCACAGAATGGTGATTCTGAGACTTGACTATATCACTTTCCTATGTCTTAACATACACAAAGGCAAACTTCACCAATATATTTCCAACGCACTTTGTCAACAGACCATGCTATGTGAAAACAGGCTACAGCTGAATACATCTATCCAGAAACAATTTTGCATGTAATTAACCTGGCGGCCACACTGTGAACAAATTAAAGATCACCATCTGAAGTGTCTTAATTTGTTACTCAGTCACTAAAAGATTGGCTGGCTCAATCTCAAATTTAAAATCCTTCAATGAACTGCTACTAAAAAAAGCCCACAGGACATTTTTAAATACAGCTAGAAATAGTTCACAGGCAGCATCCTGTTAAGCCCATGTAAGAACCACCGGTTTTTTGGTTATCTCAGTGTCTGGGGCTGTGGATCATACGGAATTTTTTCCACTGATTACTCCAGAATGGATAAGTGCAAGAACATCACAAGCAAATAGGTTTACCAAATCAGGCAGAACACAGAAACCCTTACCTTATCTGCAAAGTGTTGGACGATAAATGCTTTGTTTGACATACGGGGTTTTTCAAAGAGAACAGACTTGTTCAAGTGAGTATTGTATAATTTCTGGGCCCAACTATTATCTGAACCTTTAGGCATCTAGTGAACAGAGAGATAAAACGAACAGATAGGTTTTAACCATCCTGATTTATTATGAAAAAATGAAACAAGGAAAGCTACTCTACAACTGAAATGGAAAATGTTGTTTTGGCACTTAAAATTCACCTGAATTTGAGCCACTCAAAGAAACAGGATGCAGTTAATGGTTCACAATATTATTGGCCACAAATGTATGGGCCATCAGTTTCTAAGAACACTCCTTTAAATACCTCATTTGTATACAGTGGTACCTTGGGTTAAGTACTTAATTCGTTCCGGAGGTCTGTTCTTAACCTGAAACTGTTCTTAACCTGAAGCACCACTTTAACTAATGGGGCCTCCTGCTGCCGCTGCGCCACCGGAGCACGATTTCTGTTCTCATCCTGAAGCAAAGTTCTTAACCCGAGGTACTATTTCTGGGTTAGTGGAGACTGTAACCTGAAGCGTATGTAACCTGAAGCGTATGTAACCCGAGGTACCACTGTATATTGGTGCCCAATGGTATTCCTACTGAAGAACAGTCCTGCTGAAAATAACATACAAGTGCTTTCGAACTGCTAGGTTGACAGGAGCTGGGACAGAGCAACAGGAGCTCACCCCATTGTGGGGATTCGAACCACCAACCTTTCTGGGTTAGCGGAGACTGTAACCTGAAGCATATGTAACCTGAAGTGTATGTAACCCGAGGTACCACTGTACTACTTTACATATTCGTAGGAGTTACCCACTCCCAGTCTTGTTTTGGGGATAGGCTCGAATAAAAATAACAAAATAGAAAATATTTAAGCCCCTCAAGAAGTGGCTGAGGCTGGACTGATTCACACACTACATTTCTTATCCATATGAGCAAGGGGACAAAAGCTATGTGGGGGTGGGGAAACTCATCAAATTTAATGCTCAACATGATGTGAAAACTGGACACTGTCCCTGCCCCACAGGGGCTATGCTTTTGCACCTGAAAGAGCTTTCATCCAATCTTCAATATTTACTCACAAATAAGCCCCACTGAGCTGCATGGGGCTTCCTCCTAAGAGAGGGCATTTATAGTCTTGTAATCTAAGACTCCTTTACACATTGGCATGCTTTGAGTCTAGATGAAAATGATAGTTTCAAACAAATAATGACTTAACATAGGAACATTGACATGGCAGAGATCCTCTCTCTTCCTCCACCTTAAAACAGCATTCACAGGGTAATATCTAATGTTAGTCCTACTGAGAGCAGATCCACTGAAATAAAATGAACACAACTTAATGGATGCAGCTAACTCAGATTAATTCCTTTCAGTGGGTCTGCAATGAGTAGGACTTAAGTAGGATATAACCCATGCTTTGAATGCTACACTAAACCAAGGTATGTGGTACACTGGTATGACATCATGGTTTGGAGAGAAACAAAGCGGAAGTGTTGTTTCTGGCATGATGCTAAGCCAAGACTTATGGTTTGTTGCTCCCGGTTGAAGGAAAGGAAGAGCGAAACAGGAGTACTCAAACTGCATGAATGTTTTGTTTAAAGTCTATCACACGTTTTGGTAGAGTGTTATGCACTAACACAGTCAGCAAAGGAAGCTGGAAACCAACAGAACTTGATGCAACATAAAGGTGAGATCTGGTGAACTCCTACCTTACACTCTTCATCTAGCAAATCCAAAATACCCAGTTTGGCCTCTATGAGGTTAATGCAGGGCTGATTATCATAGAAATCAATCAAGGTCCACGGAATTTGTTCCCTCATATATTCTTCTTGCTCCAGTTTAAAGACATGCTATAAGAGGAAGGGGAAGCAGTAAATAGAGAAAGTTCATTGTTTTCTTCCCAATACATTTAACTAAATTGCTCACAAATTAAAATTGAACCCACCATTTACCAAGCACAGATCAAAGTGGACAAATGAATCAGTATAATGTGCTCAAAATTAATATGTCTTTTAGTATGGGGAAAGCAGCAAGAAAATTATAAAATAAGGTAGACAGAAGAAGAAACTTAGAAATAGACAATGCCCCAAGCTTTTATCCTTCTCATCAATATCATAATCATCACCATCCCCTCACCATGTAATTTGTAAAGCACCTAAAGTTTCCCAAGTACTAAGTATAAAATCTATATAAAACTAAATAACAAACGATAGCGAGGGAACTGTCCTGGCTCTCACTGCATGAAGGGATCGGATTATGTTTCCTGGCAAAAACGTTAATGCTCAAATCAGTACATGACACAAGCAAGGCAAGGGTTGAAGGTACAGCAGCTTGCCAGACATGGCTCTGCAAGGTAAGATGTTGATCCAGCAAATGATGCTCCCCACACCCGGATTCCTGTTATAAAGGAGTGGTGTGGGCATGACTTCAGCATAGCAAGTTGGATGTTGTTCAACTTGGTTGTGTATTCACTGGTGTTTTATTGTTTATGACTACTTTTGTTACATTGTGATTATTATTATTTTTCATCTTGAAAGGTGCTTTGAGCATGGTTTGAACTATGGAAAGGCAGCATAAAATAAAATGATGGGTGGATGTGTAAGCAATGGGCAGGTACAGTTTGCTGTCTTACAGATTGGAGTCCCACCAGCGTATTTGATGAAGTGCAAGGACTGGTCTGCCTCCTTCGCACCCTGACCCATTGGTGGGGGAAATGCTGCATTACCCCCCAGTGAACCTACTAATTAAGAGACTCCTGTCTACTACTTAACAGGCTGCTGACATCCAACTTGCAAGTAATCTGGTTAACCTTATTGGTGTGTCTTTCCAGCTATCCCAAGGAATATTTTGATTAAAATTACTATCTCACTCAGGAAGTTTTCACTCAAGAAAATTACTATCTCACAAAACAAAAAGAAGTAGAACTCTAATTAGGGAAAGATAAAATGAAGACTCCACCAGCTGTCCCTAGGACCTATCCCAGGAAACTGATGAGTACATGCTCTTAAGAGAAGTTCAGTGCCACACAGAGGATCTAGCTATCAAAAAGGACCATTAGTGGGTCGAAGCACAGAAAAACCTGCTTCTCACTTACCATATTGAACTGTTGCTGCAGTTTCTCATTGGCATAGTTTATACAGAACTGTTCAAAGCTGTTTATCTCAAAGGTTTCAAACCTGGGGGGAAACCAAAGACAATCACCAGCATAAATTAAAGGAGTAAATGTTTGCAAGATAAAAATCATGTCAACATAGTACAAGAGTGGGTTGACGCACACAAACTGCCATACTTTAAAATACAGATGTTCTTAGCAGCTTGGGCAATAATACCCATACCCAACTTATATTGTTATATTTTGTATTTTTCTTTGGGTTGTTTGGTTTTTTTACTTTTCATTTTGTTACATCAAGCTACTCAGAGGAAACTCACCCATAGATGTCCAATACGCCAATAAAAGAATGTTGTTTCATGGTGGAATGAAGAGCTTCGTTCACACGATCGACAATCCAGTTAAACAGACTAGCATATACATGTTTTGCAAGAGCATCCCTGGCATTTATGGCCTGCAGTTTGGAAATTGGTTTGATGTAGGTCTCTGTGGCAGTAGCAAGCTTCCTGTGGCAGAGCCAGTGAGCCATCTGTTCATATTCTACTCCCATGAGATCACAGAAGATGGCGAGGGGTTCGTGTTTGGCCTACAAGGACAATAATCTCCTTAGATTTGAAAGTATTATTGACCACTAACAATGCATGCAATAATGCTCCCCAAGCAAGCAGAAACCCTTCTACCATTTTCTAGATTTGCGGTGAGAAGGTGTTAAGAAATATCTCATATTAACTTCAATCCCGGCTTTTAGAGAATGCATAGAAAGGTCGGCTTAAGAGGTTGACAGCATTGGCTTCAGTTTTTGGTGGGCCCTTGGACAAGACATCTTCCCTGGGTCCCCCCTCCCTCGAAGGGTGTGTTGTTTTAGGCAGTGAAACTTATTTTTTGCACATTGCTTCATTGAGGGGTCTTAAAAATATGTTTTGGGTGTGAGGAATTCAAATCTGTGATTATTTTTATTATTGGACAACATTTAGCTTGGTGAGTCTATGTCTGATGAAGAAGCACACAAACTGCTTTCACAAAACCAAATAATTTTAATTTTACCTTCTGAAAAATGTCAGGGAATGCTAAATAAACAAACAATAGTAATAATAACACAGTTGTACCTTGGATCCCGAACGCCTTGGTATTTGGATGTTTTGGCTCTTGAATGCTGCAAACCCGGAAGTGAGTGTTCCGGTTTGCGAACGTTCTTTGGAACCCAAACGTCCAATGGGGCTTCTGCAGCTTCTGATTGGCCCAATCAGAATCCGTGCTTTGGTTTCTGAATGTTTTGGAAGTCAAACAGACTTCCGGAATGGATTCCATTCGAATTCCAAGGTATGACTGTATATAATATAAGTACAAATACTTGGCAATCATATTTAATGATTTCTATGCAATTTTGCACACGTTTTACCTACTATTTTGAAATCCCAAGTCATGTTACAACTTTTTAGCACCCCTCATTTCCTCAGCAAGATGACCTTCTCACAGCATAAAGTCCAGAGGGCTCATGTCAGGTGCCCAATCATGTGGTGCACTTGAAGCCAGCCCTACAATCATTACAATTGTCCTGGGCCCACCCTCCTTAACCCTAATTCCACATGTCTATGGACTAAAGGTAAAGGTAAAGGGACCCCTGACCATTAGGTCCAGTCGTGACCAACTCTGCGGTTGTGGTGCTCATCTCGCTTTATTGGCCGAGGGAGCCGGTGTACAGCTTCCGGGTCATGTGCCCAGCTTGACTAAGCGAACCAGAGCAGTGCACAGAAACGCCGTTTACCTTCCCACTGGAGCGGTACCTATTTATCTACTTGCAATTCGATGTGCTTTCAAACTGCTAGGTTTGCTTTAGCAGGGACCGAGCAACGGGAGCTCACCCCGTCACGGGGATTCAAACCGCTGACCTTCTGATCAGCAAGTCCTAGGCTCTGTGGTTTAACCCACAGCGCCACCTGTGTCCCGGTCTATGGACTACCAGAGAGCAAAACAATGTTACTTTTGTACTTGGCTGAGGCCAGCCTTGCTCAAAGAAAAGTAAATTTCTGCACAACTTCCTAATGTATGGCAAAATGTTTTCCTTCACAGGCAGTGCTGGTAGACAAAGAACGATTTCATACAATGCTCTTGCAAACAAGACATATTGACATAGCTCCTTAAAAGATGTGAACTGTGACATTTTATCATGAGCCAGTGTGAAGGAAGATGTAGAAGAAGGTAAAGGCAGTGGGGAAACAGAAATCAGTTGCATTTTTCCAGGTTCGGCACGCTGACCCAAAAACAGGCCAAGAAGATTAGAAATGTTACCGTGTTTACTTCTTTGAACTTATTTGGAACTTACTGGTATTGTACAGCTGTCAGCATCTCGAGATGTGAATGCCACATTGCCCAGGTGAAGAATAGCAGCAAGGATCTGAAATATTCCCATCTGACAGGAATCAACAATACCTATCATATTGGGTGGGAGTGGGGGAGAGAAAAGAAATCAGTATTCCTTTTGCTGCGATTAAAATGCAAATGTCCAATTAAGCCATGTGCAATTAAGCATCTGAACAAGGATGACAAGGACAACAAAAAAGTACTAGCCATTGTGTGGAGAAAATGTCATTCAAACTCAATCCTCAGTGAATATCTGCTGGCATCTCATCAGTAAAAAAGCCTCCCTAAGGAGATTTGTATAGTGAGATATTATCTATTATCTCCTTTCGCATCAGCTACTATCTTGAAATGCACATTTAGTGCCAAGATGGGAAACCTGTGGTCCTTCAGATCTCACTGGACCACAGCTCCCATCTGACTGGGCCACTGGCCATGCCATCTGGGCTGGTGGGGTCCAACAACAGATGCTGGGCCACAGGTGACCCAACACTGTTGCAAGCTGTCGTGCAAACTAAAGGTGTTGCAATAACATCTCAGTTGTTAATTACTCAGAGAATTGCCTTAATTTCTTGCTATACCCATATTATATATCAGAACACCCAGACAGGGTTCATTATATATGAGAATATTACTTTTCTATGTTTACCTTAAATTTTTAAAGGGAATTTTACCACATAAAAAAACCAGCTGCATAAATCTACTACAGTGGAACCTAAGTTTTCGAACACCTCAGAAGTCAAATGTTTTGGTTTTCGAACAATTTTTGGAAGTCGAATGTGCCACACGGCTTCCGCATTGAGTTTTCTGCAAGTACAGTCATACCTCGGGATAAATACGCTTCAGGATGCGTATTTTTCGGTTGCGCTCCACGGTGACCTGGAAGTAACGGAGCGCATTACTTCCGGGTTTCGCCATTCTCGCATGCGCAGACGGTCAAAATGACGTCACGCACGTGCACAGAAGTGACAAGATGCGACCCGCACACACACGCAGTCGCGTCTTACGTTCTGTTCAGGATGCGAACGGGGCTCCGGAATGGATCCCGTTCGCATCCCGAGGTACCACTGTAAATGCTTCTGAAAATGAATGCTTTGGTTTTCAAACATTTTGGAAGTCAAACAGTCTTCTGGAACGGATTACGTTCGAAAACCGAGGTTCCACTGTACATGTGTATTCCCCAGTTAACATGTAGAACCCAGAACACCGTCTTACATTTATTAAATGCCTAAATTAAAGACCAGGCCATATATGACAAAAAAGATAACTTTTTAAAAAGAAAATGCAACTAAAAAAAGGGTCCCCTGAAGATTTTAAGAGCAAGCCAGCATGACAACAGAGAGAAGAGACATCAAAACTCAACACAAAAAGTACAAAACTTGTTTACTCATAACCAGAAATACAATAAGTAAGTCTGAATGCTAATTAAAATACGATAGGTTTGGAAAGGAAGATATGACTATCCAGTACTAAATTACATACATAAAAGTGGCCAAATTGCTCACAACACTATGTCTGTCACCTGTCTCTCATTGGCCGGCTTGCTGTGATGTCATTTATGTCACAAATATTTTCACTGTTCATGGTAAACCTGTCAGGAATGTGGACACACAGAATGAAAGAATAGGAAGGGCTGTATGCGCTTCTTAGGAAGGAAGCGGACGAGGTTGCTTTGGGAAACATGGGATTACAGCCCAAGAAACAGAGGACAGGTAGGCCAAGAAATAGGGAGAGGCTGAATTATACAGATGGATTTGAACTAACTAAATCATTGGCTACAGGTCTCTAGTCTAAACACACATACTAGAATGAATTCAGGAAAGGATCATCAGAACAAGGATGGGGAACCTGTTGCTCGACTCCCATCATCCTTGACCACTGTCCATGCTGGATGGGGTTTATTGGAGTTGTAGTCCAACAACTTCTGTAGGGCCCAAGGTTCTCCATCCCTGGGTTAGCCAAATGCCTGAAAAAGATTTGTCTCCTTTTCGTCTGTTTATTATTAAATACTGTTTTGCACTCCAATTCTATTCCCACTTATCAGGGTGAAAGCCCCAGTGAATTCTGTGGTGCAAAAACACACAGGATTGTGCTGGTTATGCTGGAAGCTGCCCTGAACCTTTGTATGAAGAGCTGGGATAATAAGCTTTCCAATAAATATGTTGTAAACCACTCTGTGATCTTTGGATGAAGGGTGGTGTACAAATTAGATAGATAGATAGATAGATAGATAGATAGATAGATAGATATAGATAGATAGACAGACAGACAGAGCCTGCCACAAGCTGGTTCAGAAATTCATGCTTCATAAAGGGGTATTTTAATTACCCAATAAAAAGGCTGAAACGCTCAAACTTACTTAAAATACAACTCCTATGGCTTCTCAATGCACATCAACTGAAGCATTCAACAGCATGTATGCCACTGGCATGGTGAAGCACAGCAGTTTGTAAGTGTTCACCTTTTAAAAATTAATGCTGTGGGTAATAATGTACTACTAGGGCACAGTAGCCACCGTTTCAAAGTCCTGAAGAAATTCATGTGCTTCCAGGACTTACCCAACAAAGTGCAAGCCCGCCTGGTGTTCATCATCTCCTTGGCATCATCAATTCCATCAATGACTGGACTGCCTCCTTGCTTTGTATAGTGAAAATAGCTTGCATTTCCTAATATAAACAAGCAAGCAAAAGTTTCTTTACATACAAAGAAGAAATGCATTCTACAAAGATGTTTTAACTCTTAAAAGACTAAAAGAAACACCAGCAAAATGAATAATGCTGTGTTCAAGTAAAACTGATAAGCCAAACTTTTGTTTAGCTATTACAGGGATTTATACCCCCCTTTTGTAGGCTGAAGGCAAGATACAAGAGATGTCTGCTATTGAAGACATTTTTGTTCCAATAAGAATTTCCAGCTGTATAAATAGGTATTTACCAAGAATGTTCATTTGCTAGGGTTTTGGTTTTATTTTAAATGTGCTTGTTGTTTTGTGCTTTTAACTGTTTTTAATTATTTTAGATGTAAATCACCTTGAGATTTACCTTAAGATGGTTTAGAAGGCAATTAATAAATCAATGGTAATACCAATGGTAGCAACAACAGCAACAACTAAAGTTTTAAAAGGAAATTTAAAGCAATGTTTCAAACGAAGATTTTCTCTTACAGAATAGGGGTTTATTTGTTTTTACCTCACTGTGTTTTAATTTAGCCATAATAAGCAATATAATACTAACTACAACACTGTGTGCTCAAATATATCAGCTGCATGTAACACACCCAGAAGGAAATTTCATTCACCTTTATAGATTTGCAATTTTGCGTGCTCTATTTTCAAAAGGCATATTTATAGAAACTTAAGCAATTATTTAAAACCCATTACTAAAAACATAGTAATGCTACTTTGGAACGTGTCATGTGAATAATAAAATGGAGCAGATGTGCATTCATACCTAACCGCAAAGTTTTAAATTCAGGTAACGTTGCAGAAGCACAGAGCTGGTAGAAGATATGATAATTTCTCTCTTCTTCTGCCTTTAATAAAATGAAATAAAAGATATCTATAAACACATAAATACCTTTACACACACACACACACACACACACACAGAGAGAGAGAGAGAGAGAGAGAGAGAGAGAGAGAGAGAGAGAGAGAGGATTCCATTTTGTACTTTAATGAAGAACTGAATGGACACTGGAGTAATAGGAATAATGTTAAACGCTCCAGGGACAAACATATATTAATTCAGCAAAATACTTCCCTTATTTCATTTGCTCTGCAAGCCTTCTAAAGGAAAAGGTCACCAGCTGTCAATTAACGTAATGAAGGGAAACTTATAGCCCTCCAGATATTGTTGGACTACAACTCCCATCATCCCTAATTACTGGCAATGGTGGCTGGGGCCGATGGGATCTGGAATCCAACAACGTCTGGAGGGTCACAGGTTCCTTTTCCCTGGATTAACAGGTACAAACTGCAGGATTTATCAGCCTCCCATTGTATCCCATATGGAGGAACTGGAGATGATGGAGAAGGGGAGGGAGGGGATGTCACCCTCGGTATTTCTGTACAGAACCCTCCTCCTCCTTCCCCTAGTCCAGGGATGGAGGACCTGCGGCCCTCCATATTTTGTTGCACTTCAACCTTCATCAGCCCCAGCAAGATGGGAATTGGGAGTCCACCAACACCTAGTGTCACGGGTTATCCATCTCTTCCTTAGTCTTTCAGGACGTACACACTGCCTGAACACTCCCTCTACCCCTTTCTAGTATAGCTGAAGTGGAGGGGAAATGTTCTTGCTCATTTCCCCTGGCTGCATGAACTGAAGCACAGTTCCTGGTCTGGCAAAATAGTCCAGCTTTCAAGGAGTAAAGTCCTTGTTATCTTTCTCTATTTCTCAGTAACATCACATTTCTAAGGAACTCATTGTTTCTCCTAAGTATGCTAGATGGACGTGCAGCGATTCTGCGTTAAGTAGCTGGACATGACACATTACTGTTCAATATTTCCAAAGCAACCATTCCTTGCCCTCCATGGATGCTAGGTTATGTAAGCATGCCATCATGTATCGACTCACAATGGAACTCCTACATGGACAAGCAAAAACAAGTTTGCATTCATTTTACCTGAAATACCACTCGTGATTTTTCTAAGAGGTAAGTTCTCATGTTGGCACCAAGGATTCGAAACCTTTTATCAAAACCTATTTCAATGTACTTTCCGAAGCGGCTACTGTTGTCGTTCCGTGTGGTTTTGGCATTCCCAATAGACTGTGAGAGGGAAAACAAAAAGTGATTAACAATTTGAGGCTGCAACCTTATACACACTTACCTGGGGGTAAGTCCCACTGAACTCAATGAGGCTTACTTTTGAGTGGACATGCAAAGGATTGCACAGAGTTTTCCTTATTTTGCAAAGGTTTTTTTAAATTTCAGATTTTGTAGAATTTGGGGGGCGTTGTTTGTTTATATCAATACAACAAACACAGCAATAACAACAAAAAACCAAACAATAATAAAACCAGAATGAAGGGGGAAAGGAAAGGAAAAGCGGGCGAGGAGGCAGTCAATATTCAGCTTTCCCGGTTAAGAACCTACCTGCAGCATTAGAGAAGATAGCTGAATTACATTACAAGAAATTACCTGAACCACAAATGAAGCCTGATGACTATTAAATATGGATTTTCACTCTGGCTGTGATGTTTAATATAATCATTGGCTACATGACTTAATTAGCTAAAACTTATTTTAATTTAATGGACTAAAAACGTGTGCCGGATTCATCAAGCAGTTAAAAAAACACACCAAGTACTTATGAAAACTGTAGGTTCCACCCTTTTTTCTCAGAAACATACTTCCAAGATAAGTCTGCTTTGACACATGCATGCATTATTTAAAAAGAAATGCTTCTTACTCTAGAACTATTGTTTTTACCAATATATACATTTAATCAGTACATCATTCCATTAACTGACTAAACTCATACGATTAAGAAATTTAATCTAATTATTCCACCCTGTGGAACACCCTTCCATCAGATGTCAAGGAGATGAGTAACTATATAACCTTTAGAAGACAACTGAAGGCAGCCCTGTAAAGGAAAGCCTGTTAATGTGTAATGTTTTAATATATGTTGGAAGCCGTCCAGGGTGGCTGGGGCAGCCTAGCTGGATAGGCAGGATATAATTAATAATAATAATAATAATAGTTGTTCAGTCTGCAGCCCCATTTTTGTGAATAATGTCTCCTCTCTTCAAAAATACAGTACATTAATAAATGCACACATGTCATTTACAGACTCAAGCAGACCTCTTTATGTGGGAAGAAAAAAGCAGTAAATATGAAAGCAATTCATTAAAAAAACATATAGACAGCAGTATGCAAGAAGTCCCTTTTCTTAAGATGAGTTTCCTACATGTATTTCTGTTGCAACTACCTGCATGTTAGTGGCACTCTATGGCACAAATCCACAAACTAATACTACTTTCTAAGCCACTTGCCTTATTCCTGCACCTGTCACATCGGAGTTGCAGGGGGAGCATATCACAAGAAGCATAATATGACACAAATTGGTTAAATATAAACTTTTGAAGTAGTGGGGACATCTTTGTAAGGACCATAGCTTAGTGGGAATGCATTTGCTTTGCACACAGAAGCTCCTAAGTTCAGCCTTCCGCCTCCTATCTCTGGATAGGACTGGGAGAGACCTCTGTCTGAAATCCTGGAGAGCTTCTGCAAATCAGTCTAGACCAGAGCTTTCCAAACACTTCATGTTGGTGACACACCTTTTAGACATGCATCATTTCGCGACACAGTAAGTCAGTTTTACTAGCAAACCAGAGGTTAAACTAACCCCTTTCTAACCCCAGGAGGAATCTGGGAAGCATTCACAAGACACCTACACGCTGCAGCCGACACACTAATATGTCGTGACACACAGTTTGGAAAGCTCTGGTCTAGACAGTACTGAGTCAAATAAACCAGTGATCTGATGCAGTATAAGTTTCCTATGTTCCTAATGCACTGGATTACTCGTTCCGTGCCTTGGTACCTGTAACCCTCCAGATGTTGTAGTATTACAAGCCCCATCAGCCCCATCAATGGCCAGAGATGGTGAGAGTTGAAGGCCAACAACAACAGGAGGGCCCCAAGTTCCCCAATCTCTGGCCTAGTAAAAAGGGATGCGATTCTCAGGCTCAAAGTTCTGGGTGCGCCTCTTGCAACATAATCAACATTTCACAGGGTTGAAGTGAGAGTAAAGGAGATGAGAATTGGAATTGTACACTGCAAATCCTACAGAAATTACCTTCAGAATAGTTCTCAGTGGTTTCTTGCATGTTGGAGACAAAATTTAGCAACTGCTCTACAGGTCTACAAACAGCATTTTGCAAGTTTCCTAGAACTATCCCCATAAAAATGCTGTATCAGGCTACAAGAATGAAAATATATGCCCATTTGTTAGTGCATTTGGTACCGATAAGTGTTCAGTAATATTGTTTGGAAATGTCACACAACACAGCAAACCAGGCAAAATTACCTTATCTCTGAATACTTAAAAAAACTGTGCCAAAGTTGCATTAGGGCAGACAGTGTCATCTCCGCTTTTGTTTGTTTCAAGAAATGCTTAAAACAAGGGAAAGGTATATTTTTAAAAATTACTAAGGGAGAAAGGGAGCTTCATTCAACGTCAACAATTCCCATGAACTTTGTTTATAATTATGACATTCCTCTAAATTAAATGCCATACCAGACCATAGGGAATGAATTTCAGCTTAACTAGCATGATCACGATGCTTGTTGTCAATCACTTAATGCTTTTATTATTTATTGTTTTTCTATCTCTACCGTCTTTCTGCCAAGACATCTATAACATGCTTTAGGACATGATTTTAATGTTATATGTCACTTTTGGCATTTTTAAAATAGAAAAGCAATTAAGAACTGCAAATAAAAGTTTAATACAGTACAGTGGAACATTCTATTAAATAGGCTTCTTTTTCAGGGGCTTGTGTAACTCCAAAATATTATTATATTGCTGAAAGGCATTGTTTAGGTACCTCCCTTTGTCCAGCTCCAGGGCTATTCAGAGGATATTCACCCTGCAAGATTTTTATGAATTTTGAGATTAGGACAGGGAGATCCCATCTTAAAATAAAACAAATAAAATATGGAGTGGGAGTTGGGGCGATGCATAAGCTTCAAACCCACTCCTTATTTCACAGCACATGCAAATTCTGGTAAATGATAACTATATGAGCAGACATTCATTCTCTGAAGTTCGGATTAGAAAGAATTAGTCACTCACTGTGTTACCTGCTCCTTTCCACTTTTTAGAAGGATGCAAAGCACTCTAGAAATTGGGACCATATTGCCTGAAATATTTTTATCATTTCCTTTTCTTCCAGCTAAAGGCCAACAGTTCGACCCGCCATATTTCAGGGATAGGGTGGGGTTATTATCTTCCATTTGTAATAAAACTACCTTGACAACCAACATTTCCCTGCAAACCCCTGGCTTCACTCTAGCAAAGGCAAATCAACTAGCAAAAGAACCCTCCGTTAGACTTAAAGTAACCATGTTCCTGGTCTTACCTCCATTATAGGATTGGAAGCCAATACTCTCTCTTCGACATTAGCTTCACTTGCAGACCCGCTTACAGTGGCAAAATATCTCATAGCATATTTAGCAGAGACTGTTTTTCCAGCTCCAGATTCTCCACTTACAATAATTGACTGGTTCCGTTCATCTCTGAAATGGAAACAAATCAGTTTCAGTTGTATTAATGTTCATCCATCTTGACTCGGACGTGCATATTGTGTTTGGTACAATGTGCAAAGAAGACACAATCTAAGAAAGTAGAAGCCTAAAAATTGTATAAATGTTACTTCAAAGGAGAAGAGCTTGTTTACATACATACATACATATGTACAGGTGTGTTTCATATGGAACTTAGAATAGCGATATTTTGCATTCAAAAGTTCCTAATACAAAGCATCAAAACATTTCACCAAAGAAAGCAAATCAGTAACTCAGTTGTATGAATCTACAAGAAATGCAGGCGTAGAGCTTTTTTCCTATTCAAGACATGAGGCTATGCAAGAAAGAATACTTTTGTATTCTAATCTTTGAACAAAATATGTATTTCAACATTAAAACAAAAAGCTGCATTCCAACTGCCCTCAATATCCTAGATATCAGGGGTTCTCAAACTCCCCGGGGTCCACTTGAAGAGGGCTGAAAATTACTGAGGACCACTGGTCATAAAATGACTGTCAAAGAATGGCAACAGATGGAGGCAGAGTTTGGCATAATCAGTTGGCAAACACTGACATCTGCCTTTGGAAATTGCTTCTTTATCCTCTCCCTCAGCTCATCATGCCCCCTTTGACGCCATCTTTCTCTTTCTCTTTACATTCCCTCACACTTGGCTGCACACTCAGACCATTTCCTTTCTTTCCTTCTCTCTTTTCCCTCTCCTCCTCTTCAACTTAGCATGCAACATCCTTGCTTCCACTTCCATGTAGACAGAAGACTCCATGGCATTTGAGGCTGGCATAGCCCAGTCAGTTGATCATGAGATTCCAGATCTCAGGGTTGTGGGTTCGAACCCCACATTGGGCAAAAAAATTCCTGCATTGCAAGGGGTTGGAGTAGATGACTCTTGTGCAGTGTTCAAAACTCCCACTGTTCTAGGCACATTTTGCGAACAGGAATTTCATTAACATGAGCAGTTTCTGAGCTCTGGGTGCAGTACTGCGCATAAGTTTTCAAATTAAAACTGCAGAGTGGAAGGAAAGGGGGACCTTTTTCTGCCTCCCCAATTCCAGCTACTCTCTGAAGACTGGAAAAGAGACCCTCTCAAGAATATATGGGGGGGGTGGGCAGGTGAAGGACTAGACCATGTGAAAAATGAACATAATATTTTAGCTGCAGGTCATTCATTTTCAGCTCTGTATACCTGTTATAAAAAGCGTGCTTAGACATTCTGTTGTTGCACCCATAACCTAGGTTTAAGGTGCCATTTAGCTCCTAGCTTTCATATCTCAGTTTTTAACACTGCCCTTGTGGTCCCTTCAACTCTTCAATTCTATCATTCCATGGGTGAGGGATGGAATGCAGTGCGGAAGCCCATCTGAAAGGGAACCAAGGGCTATTAACCCACAGTCTGAGAAACACTGCACCAGATGGGTTTTTCCCTTCTCATTCTGATTACTAGTAAGCAACTAAAATCGGAGAATTGGAAGAGACCCCAAGGGTCATCTAGTTCAACCCCCTACAATACAGGAATCTCAACACGTGGTCAGTCTCCCGTCCAATTTGAAACCATACCAGATGTAAAACTGTGCTAGCAGTTTAACTGCTGCACCACTAGGAGGGGCCAATGGGAGAGTCTCCCACATGTAGAAATAATCCACGCAACTTATTTCCAGTGTGACAATTAGATATATGCACTGGCAGGCCAGGATCAATGGGAGAAAGCAAACAACACCTTGACTTGATGATACTCTTTTCCCAGCTGCAGAGACTGCCACCACAAAAATTCTGTCTCCCCTCCATCATGGAAAGAAGGAAGTGAAGGGATGAGCTTTAGGAAGTCCCTGATCTGACTCAAGAATCTTTGTTGTTGTTTAGTCGTGTCCAACTCTTCGTGAGCCCATGGACCAGAGCACGTCAGGCACTCCTGTCTTCCACTGCCTCCCGCAGTTTGGTCAAACTCATGCTGGTAGCTTCAAGAACACTGTCCAACCATCTCATCATCTGTCGTCCCCTTCTCCTTCTGCCCTCCATCTTTCCCAACATCAGGGTCTTTTCCAGGGAGTCTTCTCTTCTCATGGGGTAGCCAAAGTATTGGAGCCTCAGCTTCAGGATCTGTCCTTCCAGTGAGCACTCAGGGCTAATTTCCTTCAGAATGGATAGGTTTGATCTTCTTGCAGCCCATGGGACTCTCAAGAGTCTCCTCCAGCACCATAATTCAAAAGCATCAATTCTTCGGCGATCAGCCTTCTTTATGGTCCAGCTCTCACTTCCATACATCACTACTGGGAAAACCATAGCTTTTACTATACGGACCTTTGTTGGCAAGGTGATGTCTCTGCTTTTTAAGATGCTGTCTAGGTTTGTCATTGCTTTTCTCCCAAGAAGCAGGCGTCTTTTAATTTCATGACTGCTGTCACCATCTGCAGTGATCATGGAGACCAAGAAAGTAAAATCTCTCACTGCCTCCATTTCTTCCCCTTCTATTTGCCAGGAGGTGATGGGCCCAGTGGCCATGATCTTAGTTTTTTTGATGTTGAGCTGAACGTTTTCCCCTCAGCTTTTGTCAAGGGCAGATATTTAAACATCCCCAGTAATGACAGACATTGTGAATGTTCTTTGAATGTGCCGGACACTGTAGAACCTATCATTTTCTACTTTCTATTGTACAACCAGCTACGCAGACGCATGCTATCCCATTTTTTGGGTCGTCTAACATCATGGCACAATGAAAATATCAGATTTTATCTGTCTGACATTAACCCCGAAGTAACTGTAAGGGTGGCTGAGTTTTTGTCAAGAGTATCTCTTAAAGTGGTGAATGGCACTATTGAGCGGGGGGAAATCCCAATGAAAATCCTCATCATTACAGTGGTGGCTCGCAAGACGAAATTAATTCGTTCCGCAAGTTTTTTCTTCTTGCGAGTTTTTCGTCTTGCGAAGCACGGTTTCCCATAGGAATGCATTGAAAATCAATTAATGCGTTCCTAGGGGAACCGCTTGCCAGGCTGGCGGTGCGGAGAAGGGCTTTTCTCCCCACCGCAAGCCTTCAGGACAGGTACGGGAACAGAGGGGAAGGCGCGCAGCGCTTTCCCTCTGTTCCTGGGGCTTGCGTGGGAGGAGGGTTTTTCCTCCCCACCGCCAAAATTCAGAACAGCATTCTGAATGTTGGCGGTGGGAAGGAAAACCCTCCTCCCACCCCAAGTCTTCAGGAAAGCCATCCGAAGCCGGGCGGCGGGAGAAGGCGTTCCCGCCCCGCCGCCCGGCTTCGGAGCTTCGTTCCAAAGCCGGGCGGCGGGAGGAGGAGTTCCCGCCCCGCCGCCCGGCTTCGGAGCTTCGTTCCGAAGCCGGGCGGCGGGAGGAGGTCCGAGGACAGTGGGGAAGACGCGCTGCGCTTCCCCGCTGTCCCGGAGATTTCCCTATGGGCTTTCGTCTTGCGAAGCAAGCCCATAGGGAAATTCGTTTTGCGAAGCGCCTCCAAAACGGAAAACCCTTTCGTCTAGCGGGTTTTCCGTCTTGCAAGGCGTTCGTCTTGCGGGGTACCACTGTATATATTTTACATGGCTGTTTATTTGTATATATTTTAAATTTTTATATGTGGATATTTTATGATGGCCTATACTTGCAATGCCTAATAATGGCTTGGCAAAGTAAGATGCAACCATCAGAAAGGAAGTTGGCATGCCCATTCAGGACTTACTGCATGCCAAAGACAAATCTAGCTGCACCCCAGTACCTGTTTCTATGGAGCCCAGGAAAGCTGAATGACACAACAATGTGATGTTGACTTGGTGACTGAGAGACCTCAGCGAAATATGGCAAGTATTTTTACAAGTTAGTTTTCCATGAGGTGTGAACGGCTCCTTCTCTCCTGCAAGTCTTCAACAAGCAGGGGGAAGAGAAAATGCACAATATATGTTGACATGCAGGCTTAAGAGATTGGGGTTTCAGAAGGAAGGTTTGTAAAGACATCCACTTCATGTTCAAGCCCGAGATCAGCTCTCGCAGAAGGTGTGAAACCAGCTCTAACTTTCCCCATATTAATACACTGCATGCAATCTCAAGTTAAACATGCCAGGGCAGATTTGTTGAAAAAATAATAATAATGCAGAAGTAGGGGCAACTAGTTATAATAGGCTCTGGGGAAACACACAATTGCTCCATGTTTAAAAGGGGAAGAGTGAAAAGGGAAGGAGATCATACACAAGACAAGGATTATACCCAATACAAAACCTCATTAGAATACACAATGCTCACAATCAGTACATAGTTTTTAACAGGCTGGGACACAGGAAAGTCTAGTATACCAAGATGGCTCTTCCCTTAGGTTAAATGCAATACAACTTTCCTAAAAAGTCATTTTGATAAGGATTTATATATTACTAATGGAAACATTTGATAGGCACTCTGTAGTCCCTTCAAAGCACATTAGCACTCTTTACTAACATCAGTATAGGCCCCCACCCCACCTCCACAAACACACACTTTCTCTCACTAGGGCTATGCAGAATACACTATTAAATTCCCTGTATGCAGCCTATTATAACACCCTCTGGCAAGTACCTGGCACAGACAGCCTCTATATAAGCAGAATCAGCTGGTGCTGTCTATTCCGCAGTGAATCTCTATGCTAGACAGGAGTTCATTGTGCATTTTCGTAGCTTGAACTTGAACTTTCCCCCCAGTCCAGGCTTAGAAGGCTTCATGCCACCAGACTCACGTGTCATTTTTATTCAGAAAGCTACTTTTCGTGATATGAAACACGATTCTACAATCCGGGACAATTTAATTATATTTATATTTAGGATATAATGTCACACAGATTCTAATAATCACCTATCAGAGCAAAGACTATACAGTGGTACCTTGGTTTACTAACTTAATCCGTTCCAGAAATCCGTTCTTAAACCAAAGCATTCTTAAACCAAGGCGTGCTTTCCCATAGCAGCGGGGGACTCCATTTACAAATGGAACACACTCAACAGGAAGCAAAA